TTCTCTTCTTTTTTTTCTTCTTCCTTTTCTTTTTTTTTTTTCCATTTTCTTTTTGTTGAGAAATCCCAAAAGGCGGGGAAAGACAAAGGGGGGTGGATTTTTGCTGCTGTAAATAGAGTGATTTAATCCAAATCTTGGTTTTTCAACAGTTTGCCCTCTGGGCATCCGTATGAAGGGGTTTTTAATTTTAATCTAACCTCGGGAGCCTTCCCTACTCTTGCCGTCCGACACCGTTGCGCCAAGTACGGTATCTATTTTGGCACCTTTTCCTTTGATCTCGGATCTTTCTTCTTCGCGCCCACGCAACTGCCTCTCATGCGACGTCGCCTTGACGTCAAGACCCATGAGATCAGAGATGCTGCTTGCCGTCTCGGGCTTGACGTCGTGTGCTTTATGTTCCTTGCGCTTCTTGCTCGCATCCACGCCCATGAGCGTGTCGAGGCTAGAGGCTGTTTGCGGGTTGACGGGCTTGTGCTTCATGCTGATGGCTGTCGATTCAGGTTTGCTGTTTTATGATTTGGTTTTGTGTGTTTTCTTGGAAAGTGAAATCCTGAACACGAAGATTTCGCGCCTACGACGAGGCGCGTCCAGTGCATTTATGGAGCTACAATCCAATTTCACTGTGCCTACGTGCCCAGTCACTTGAAAGCCACGCGTCAGTCTTCTCGCGAGCTCTCAGTCTCGCAAAGAAATCGAACTGTGTGCACAGCATTGCGACGTCATGATTGCCTATTCCAGGAGCACGGGCAGGGTCTATAGAACTTGACAAAGACTTGAGTGGCCACGATAAGGATGCTTGCGCTTTGACACACCCTCCCTTTTTCAGACGCATGTCGCATGCCATTGGCTGCTTCGTTCACTTTGAATCGGGCTGGGGTATTTCGAGGAAATCGTCTGTATCAAAGATGAAGATGATGGTTTAACATTATGCGAAAGAGGAGCAGTGAACATAATTTCAAAGAGTGAGACATGATGCGCCACATTTCAATCTCGAACCCAAGGTTCATGGAATATGATTATGGCGCCAAAATACTGCGCCTCACTCAACTTTGCAAAAGATGACGGGATGCATCTGCAGCTAGGCTATGCAGCTGAGATATTCGTGGTGCATCTCAAGGCCAGAGGAGCGTCAGATTGTAGATGGACTGTTGCCTACGAGGTCGAATCCGCATTGATGTTGCCTTTTGACATGCAATAGTTTTGGCAATGGCTGCAAATGCTTTCGAATATGATCAATTAGACCGATCAGCACAGAGTATCCGGCTTTTACGCATACTGCCGTATGCCGATACGCTCGACTGCGTGCTGGAGACTTTCGACATCCGAGAATGTCCGAAATACCAGGCACTCTCCTATGTATGGGGCAGCGATGATGCCAGTTGCGAGATCCGCATCAATCAATCAATCGTACTCATCCGCAACAATCTCTGGGATGCTCTGCAGGAGTTGAAGACACTTCGCGGGCGGTCAGACTTTCACTACGAGTGCGAAGACCATATTTGGATTGACGCGATTTGTATAAACCAGAACGACGACGTGGAGCGAAGTCATCAGGTCAATCTCATGAGCCTCATCTTCAGCCAGGCTGCTCGCACCATTGCCTGGTTGGGGCGTGAGGACAACAACTCGACCCTAGCCATGAAAACGCTGGCGAAGAGGCAATGTCCAAAATCGCTTGCTCCTACCGTCTGCCTGGAAGAGATCTGGACTGCAATTGATGCCGTCTTTAGCCGTGTGTACTTCGAGCGCATGTGGATTGTGCAGGAAGTCTTGTTATCAAACAAGTTGCTGCTTCTTTGTGGATCGTCATTTTGTTCATGGCATGATATCATTTGGTTCCATGACCACTGGCAAGACTGGTTCGAACAGAACGTCATGTGCGATTTGCCCTTGACCCTCATTACGACCAAAGAGTTTTTGGACAGGCACAGGAGACTCAGACCTGTGCGCAAACTGAAATACCTCCTACTAAACCTCCGCCGTCGCCAATGTTTGGACCAGAGGGATAAAATCTATGCCTTGTTAGGCATCATCTTCAAGCAGTCCAGCGACAGCAACCCACAATTGGAAGCCGACTATACCATTTCGTCGACAGAGCTATACTCGAGAATGGTGACATTCTTCAAGGTATTGCCAGAAGGGGACAGAAATGTCATATACGCCGAACTCCTGAATATCCTCGATATGCCAAAGAGCACGCGCCATTCGATCAGACTGGCAAGAGACATTGACAGAATCATTTACAAGATAGAGAATCACCCTGTCGGTGGCATAGTTAAGAGGTTGGACGTTATCGGATCCGTCAAAGATCGAGCGTTTCTGTACATGATCTTGGACGAGATCGAGACTCGGTTTGGAGTCAGCCTCACGAGCTTCCCAGCAGCGCTAGAGCTGCGTAACTTCTCAACAATGAGTATTTCCGGTGATATCGCAAGAGATGTCTTTACCTTGTTGATGTTGTGTCACCCGCGCGTGATGCTCTTGCTGCACTTGTGGCAACAGTGTATGACGGTTGACAATCACCTGCAAAGACTGATTTTGCTCCCCACATCGCATGATCACCACGCGCCAAAGTGGAAGAACTACGCGTTTGCCGCCTCAGAAGATGGGTTATTGGATATTTCTGTCTTTATGGAAAAGACAAAAGGTGTGCGGACCATTATAATAGAATTTGAGACGGGCTTTTGGTGGTTGGATTTTCCTCGTGCGGATGCTCGTATCATAACAGAGGATTCCGCTTGATGCGTTTGGCAATTACCACAATCTATTGACTGGATGCGAATATCTTGCAGCCATTTATTAGTTACGGATGAAGTTTGGTGTATTTGAGGCTCTAGGCCGATAGCGAGAGAAAAGAAGCCGTCGGATACAGCATATCTGTCGCCCGAGCACCTGCATGAGGAGGGGAAATGCGGAGCCCCCGGTTCGGTATAGCGATCGCCAACTTCCACCACTCAATAGGCGGGGGGCAGATAGTTGCATGTCGTCTCGAGTTGCTGATGTCAGTTTGTTGTTTGCGTTTTGAAAAGATCATCCATTTCTTGATTATCATTCGGTTTTTTCCAAATATTAGAGCGACAAACATGGAAAAATACATTCCTCACGTCGCCATTGTGGGCGGCGGGCTATGCGGCCTGGCCCTGGCAATCGCTCTGGAGAAGCGCAATGTCTCGTACACGATTTACGAGAGACAGGACTCGTTCTCCGAGATAGGTGCAGGTATCAATATCGCGCCCAACGCCATTGCAGCATTCGATCTCATTGAACCGGGCTTGGGCAGCTTGGTCATGGCCCTGGGGACCCGTAATCCAAACCCAGACGTGTGGATGGTCAACAGGTTGGGAGCGCCTACGGAACGATACCCAGACGCGTACCCAATCGCATGCATCGCGGCACCGGGCGTTGGCCACACTGCCGTGGGACGTTATGAACTGAATAATCTTCTCGCGTCCAAGATTGATCAGTCAAAGGCTAGGTTCAAGAAAAGGTTGAAGGAAATATACCAAAGCGAGACCCGGGTCAAGTTGATATTCGAGGACTTGTCTGAGGAATGGGCGGATATCGTGATAGGTTGTGATGGCATCCACTCGGCAACACGAAAGGCAATCCTTGGCGCTGAGCATCCTTCTGCAGAGCCTAGATTCACGGGCCTTGCTGGCTACCGAGCCGTGTTTGCCATGGACAAACTCATCGAGGCGATAGGACCCGACATTCCAACCACGAGCTGCATTTGGAGCGGTCCGGGTGGCTATGTGACCATGTACTCGATTGAAGGGGGTAAAAAGGTCAACGTGGGTTTCTGGCGCGACAAGGAGGAAATCCGCGAGACGCTTGCCAATGAACGATGGGTCTTGAAGAACCAAAAGGCTGCGCTGTTGGAGGACTTTAAGCACTGGGGTCCCACGATGCAGAAGCTGATGAATATGGTGGGAGACGACACTCAGCTATGGACTTCTCATCATCACGATCTCCAACTCGAGTCTTATTACAAAGGCAGAATCTGCCTCATCGGTGATGCAGCGCACTCAATGGGACCACACTGGGGTCAGGGGGCATCACAGGGAATGGAAGATGTATATGTCATGGGCGAGGTACTTGCTGGCATTTGCAGCCCGGGTGACACGTCAGTACCGCCGTCGGAAAGCATTCAAGCTGCTTTCTCTGCGTGGCAAGAAGTCAGAAAACCCCAGTTTGAATGGCTAGTCCACTCCAGCCATCATGCCTTTCTCTGGTGGTCTGCCTTTTGGCGTCCAGATCTCACAGAAAAGGACATGCTCGACAGACACACGGACGCAGCTGCGAGGCTTGGAATGATTTGGGGGGCCAATATTGGGCGGCAGGGTGAGGTGGCCAAGTTTGTTATGCAAAAGTCAATCACCACAGCCGCTGAGCAGAGAATGAGACACCATCGATTCTAGGTGGGCAATTAGCTTGTGCGTCGGTGATGCTGTACTGGTATGGACGAAATCCTATAGCTGGGGGAGGGGGCCACCTTTTTTTGTGCGAGTCTTGCATTGCTACTGCTGGGGTTCTGATTCACTGCTTTGACACGGACTGCTTGCTGTTAGATTTGAGTAGTTGGATGATACAGTTGTGAATGAAGACTTGCATTTTAGTATAAAACATACAATTTACCACCAGCTTTGGCTTTGCCTCTGTCACTAGCACACCAACGCGAATCCACACAACACACGTATCCACGCCTGTTTCAGAAGCATATTCTTGCGCTGGTTATCCTGATTTATAATGAGCATCACTTCCCGCAATGATCATTGCCAAGGTAAAACTATAAACTCGAGCCATCATATCGCGGAGCTAATATTCAATAAAATGGAAGGCCGCCAGGAGCCAAAGTCTCAAAGCGAAGAACCGGACTATACCAGAATGATTCTCGATGATTTTACTACCGGCATTCAAACTCAGGTTGCTAGATTTGACTCTCAATCTCAGCAGAAGCAAAAGCAACCCGCTCATTTCAATGACGCGGCTACCCCAGCGAAACTTGACTATACTAGAGTGGTTATCGATGAACGCACCCCACGCATTCTATCAACATCCGCCGGCTGTGACTCACGATTGCCCAAGCAGAAAAAGCAGCTTGATTACCCTGGCACACCGGCCTCCAATTCGGTAGGAAAATTCTCTCCTGACCATGACTTGGGCAATCAACTTCGGAGCCTGCTTAGACACCAGTCTGAACCAAAATCAAAGCACCAGGATATCTCTCACATCCTTACTCACTCATATGGTTATCCTTCCGACATCTCCGTCGGATGTGGTGGCGGATCCCGTGATTCTCTAGCCAGTAGTGTATCTGGGGGCAGCGACCAGCATTCCGATGCGAGCAGTATGGACGAATATGAGTACCAACAGTCCGCCAATGGTCAAAAGCGGCCTACGGACGACAAGCGAAGAGTAGAAGCCGAGCCCAAAACCAGGTCGGTAGATCAGTAAACGGGACTGAAGAATTTGTAGATGGAGGGGGAAATATCGAGAGTGGTGAAAATCTTGGAAGAATTACAGCCGAAGACAGTAGCGAAGAATGAATGATTTTACAGAGCCCTTGCTGGTAACACAATGTTGATTTGATTGTAATGTAATACAGAATCTAGGCAGAAACCATAGAGTGCACTCCAATTGTGGTGTAAACATATTCAAAAGTACGCTTTACTTTTTTTCTGAGATGTAAATGTTCAACACCTGACACAGTATTTACCATTGACGAATTTATTAAGCTGCAGCAAAGTATTGCAATTACAATTGTTTCTTGCACACTAAGGATTTTCGCAAAGCACACATTGACTGCGATGTGGCAATACCTGCAAGGGTGGTGTGTGATTTGGATGTTTGATTCCTGGTGAGTACCAATTCAGAGCTGGCAATCTGCTCAGTCGCAAGGTTGTGATGCAAAACCATTACAGGATCCTGTGACTGTGAATAGTATCTTCTAACTTGGTCAAAGTATATAAGAAATCTCAATTCCAGGGTTCGCGTTTCTTGACTTTCACTCAAATCACACATCGCACATCGCGCGCATACATAACAGCACGGAAACATACATCACTTGACGTTTCAGTCATCCATCTTCATCATGAGTGGCAACCGGCAGGCAAAGGGAAAGACTCCCGTATGGAACTGGCGTAATGGACCATTGTACGACAGACCACCGTCGTGCGACCGGGATTCTGACGAAGCACCTGATCCAGAACCTTTCGCATACGCATCTTCTTCCGAAGCACAGACCCCCAATTCTTTCGTATACCCGCCTTCTTCCGGTGGTCAAAATTCTGTCAATGACATGAGCTCTACCAAGTCTCAACGTTCAGTCGATAACCTCGCCACCGGTCTCGGAGACCTGGGCTTTCAGTCCCAGGGTGGCTATGATCCAGGACAGCAGATGAATGCCTTGATGCATCAATTGTCTCGTTCAGGTCAAGACCAATATCTTTCGCCGGAAACCGCTGCATACGATTCATACGGTTCATACGAGGTACCCGGATATGGCTTATCAGGTTTTCCAAGCTCGCTGCATATGAGTAGCGGCAGTATTTCACGAGCTTCACCCGGTATTAGTGCCTACGGAGATGACGAAGAAGATATGACAGGCTTTAATCCAGATCAACCTTTTGATTCATCAAGCCAGGTGCGATCGTATCGTAATCCTGCCTATGCTTCATCAAGTCGGGATCCGCCGTACCCGCATCAGTACTCTACGCAAGCTATGTCAAGTCAGCCGCCGCAGTACGCCCAGGTCTACCAAGATAAACGCGGCCACTCGCAAGTTGCCACAAGCTCCAGTTCTTCTTATCAAGGAGAGGGCAAAAGCAAGGGTAAGAAGAAGAGAAATCAATATTAGAGGAATAATCGGTGGTCTTTAGAGACGCAGCTTGAAAGCTCCAAAACAAAAGCAGATCAAGACCACTCAAGATCACCGACAACAGTGGCTGGGGAGGAAACGGTGAGATATTGAGTGTTTGGGCGGCCTTCCCCATTGATGATAGCAGAGAAAGCAACTGAGTTGTATCGAGGCTGGTTCTCTAGTCAAGACCTTTGATCAGTTGCGAAGCGTTGAAATTAGATGGCTCATTTCCATCATTTTCACAACATCGTTTAGTTCGAGATGCGTTTCATCATCTCTCGGCGGCTGAAAGCAAGTAATACATACTATCTTACGCAAAATTACTGCAAAAGCTGTCACGTGTAACAGAAAGTATCTAGATAATCAGTTGTCCACTCGATCACACAATTACCTACAGGAGTATGTATTGCGTTGCAACCAGATTCTGGCCGCCCAGTGAAGTGAATTTGGGAATGTATTTTATTGTTTCCAACTGTTCATATTTCCAACAAGTCGACCCAAAGCTTTCAGAATACCTAACATTGGCTGTTATGACCGTTGAGTGTAGAAACTTAAGAATCAGAGACTATTCTTGCCACACGGCTTCAATCACCCCAAAGAACCCGAGTGGCGCTGCGCTGGTGTCTGAAACCTTGAAGCGCTTATCTGCAGCCTCAAAAATAGATTTCCAAGCATGTATAGGCCTCTCCTTGCCGTTGAAGATGGCCATGAGTCTCAAATCGGTAGCCGTGCCGTACTGCTTTAGAGACCGTGGTGTCGATGAATCCTCCTCGTGTTCCTCCTCGCCAGCACCGCCGAGGTATTCGATGAGCAGCACTTTGGCGCCGGGCTTCATGACGGGGACCAAGTTTTGCAAGATCTGAATGCACTCGGCGTCTGGCCAGTCATGTAGGATCATCTTGAGAAGGAAAATGTCCGCCGGGACGGGCTGCGGGCTGAAGAATGAGTGCTCGGTGAAGCGAACACGATCCTTTAGATCAGAAGGCACAGTGCGATCAAAGGCAGGCTGCACTTCTGCAAGGTCCTGAACAAAGATTTCCATATTTGGGTATTTGCGAGCGAGCACAATGGCGTCATGGCCCGCTGAACCTCCAATCTGTCCATGATGTTAGCTATGGGAAAAGAACAAGTCTCAAAGGGCGCTGCTCACGTCTGCGACTGTCACTTTACCCTCTGTCGGCCAACCAGAATAATTCAGTACCACGCCCTCGAGGTGAAACAAATCCTTGAGATATGCCATCCACTCCACAAAGTTGCGTTGCCGCCAGCCCTTCTTGGAGCCCTCACCATCATTCTCGAGCATGTCCCACGTGTTACGAAAGCCACCAAACTGGCCACCCGCATGGAATAGCGCAAAGGCGGTTTCGTCGACTCGTTGGGTGAGCTCGGATTTGCCGAGATTATAGCGACGCAGAGCTTCATGAAGGACCATGACAGGAGCGCCGGCGTCGTCCAATATCGAGGACACGAGAGCCTTGAGACCTGAGGATTGCGCCAGTGCTGCTGAGCGTGAGGTATGTTTCACACGGCCCGGTCCTGCCGGCGCAAAGATGCGCTGGGTCATGCCATGCTGGACTAGGCGATAAACGACACCTCGTGGAAGAGAGACGTGAGCTGCAATCTCCTCGTACGTTGCGGAGCCATCTATTGGCACAGCGGACCAGAAGTCAAAGGCGTTGAGCGTATTCAATGCTGCAGCATCAGGAACCGCCTGCCAAACATATCAGTATCTTGTATGGGCTTTTTCTCTGACTTGATAAAGATATCTTACAGAGTGGGCGTAATTGAAAATGCTGTCAGCAGGTCCCTGTGCCAAATAGGTCATGTCATTCAGCGCGTCCAGAAGGTTTTGCCGAACCATGAACATTTCCGGAGACAGTTCATTGTACCTAGATGGACTGTCAGCAGCGAAAGATACCGGCGGCAGATTCTGCTGCTCGTAGAATTTTGACAGAGCACCCGAGAGCTCCGAAATCTTGGCCGAGAGGCTTGCAAGAGTAGGTTGCTCAGAGTCCGCCATGATGAATCTTCAACCGCTGGAGTATGCACGAGTTCCTCATTCTGCTTCTCTTACCGAGGACATGAGAGCTATTTAACATGCAAAATCGGAGCGAAATAGGGTCTCCTTTTCTTCTTGGCCGCCCTGCTTGGCATATTAAAGCCATTGCCACCACGGCGTTTTAGAGGCCTCATGTTGTACTGACAATCCCACGTTGAGAGGACATTCAAGCGCTTGGCGGCGTCAATCCAAGCCACAACTTCCGAAATTGTCACCCGTAGATGCGGAGATGGCGAGCACACAATGTCTCCAATCTGATAAGATTATCTTGTCATCAGATTAGATTCTCACGGAATCGCGCTGATAACCGCAAGGCCAAGGGATTGGCTGCACAGGTTATTGGCAGGAGAATGCAAACTACATGGCATGGCGTCATGGACGATGAAACCTTGGAGCCCTCAATACGAGCAGCGTGACATTGTCAATGAGGAAAGTCGCCGAGCGCCCGACGGTGCTGCCTGAAAGATGCAGACATTTTTTTTTTTAATAGAGTTTGGCACATCTGAACAGACTTGCTTACTTTGAACAAAAGTAGAACAAGACGTCTTTCGAGTCGTATATCATTTTCAATGAGCCAGCCGCAAAAACAGAGGAATATTCAGAGTCTGCGGGGTTTATAATTGTTTGATTATCAGCTGTCCACTTTTGTAAGCTTATATGAAAGCCAAGCATAATAGCTTCAGTAGTCCCGGAAACACGGATTTAATCTCATGCGAATATGCAGTCCTGAGCCTCGGATCACTGGTGAAAGCTTTTCCAGAGAAGGCTGATGGAGGATCGAATTTCTGAAAGTTCAAAAGCCGCACGTTCACTATAGGTGACTAATATACCTGATTATTGATTTTGTAGTTGGGCATTCTTGTCCAGGCATACGCTAGTCATTCATTTTCTTTTCGAGACCTGATTATTTCTGCGTTTCTTTGTTTGCCTTCTCTGCGTTTTCTTCCTTCCACCCTTCATCAAATCTTGCATTTTCGTGATATCAACTATGACTGATATTCGCTGAAATCGCTACGGAAGCTTTCATCCAGAAGTGGAAAGCTCGGATTTCACGCAAATATGGCAACACAACCGGGATCCCGATTTAATGATCGCTACGCAACACCAAAGAGATCCACCGAGTAGTCGAGAAATTTATTATAGAGTAGCGGTGTCTAACATGCCATATAAGAAGATTCCAAAAGGCCCAAAGAAACATGTCACCGCTCTTGTTGAATTAGGGATTGTGTGACTGATGGTATGCAGCCATTATCCACAAGACTGCAGCAAAGCCCCGCCAGGCCGGGTTGATACTGTATGCTGGCCCATGGCCATGTAAACTTGCCTTGCATCTATATCATGGGTATTTCAAGGGAGCTATAACTCAAAGGTCGAAGTCGCTTCTGGTTATACACGGTAAATCTTGACCTATTTATGTAACAGCTGCTGCTGGGCCCAGGGTAAGCAGTCCACATGGTGAACGCCGGCGAATCCCGCCGACGCCGTTGATCCTACGCTGCTGAGAACCGACCGTGATCGTCACCGTTGAAGCAACTTCGGTGCTACGGCGCCCCAAAGAATATTCTTTTGCCGGCATGTCAGGAATATCCACGCAAGAACACGTCGTGAAGAGTTCCCATTTAGCACAGCGCTACCCTCAGGGTCGCCTTCTGGAAAATCGCGCGTGTCTCCGGAACGGGATCCGTCTGCCGCGTGCTAGCTTCATCCCGTAGGAACTATCGGCTAACCTAGGCCGTATTTGAATTACATGCCCATGGGGTTCAGGGAAATCTGGCCATTACTGTTGGGCAACAGTCTGCAGCTGCGCCTCTCAGGGCAAGTGGGCAAGCGTAGCAAAAGGGGAAAAAAAAAAGGATGGAGAAGGGGATCGCCAGTGAGTTGTGAAAGTTTGCTTACATGCACAACAATACATGGCACAAATGACGACCGCAACCAATAAATCTCAGGCAGATGATGAATCACGCCTGACGGTGAGCCAAATAATGACTGTGTTCCGAGAATATCTCTGACACTGGCCAAGGGCTCCTCCAAATACCATATAGGTAAGAAAAGGTGGTGATCTGTCCAATTCTTCCAGGTTCGAACGTGGAGTTCGCCAGGGGAACGCCTCTGCGGAGCCAATAGGCGAAGGACAGACGCGTGCTGATTCGTGGAAGGTCGGGGCCGGAATGCTTCGAGAAGACGAGTCATGTTTCCACGATCGACGGGGAGTATACAGCTCAGGTTAGCAGGTGAATTCTAGCGTGGAATCAGATGAGCAAAGTTTAAGAATGTACGCGTCCGTCGTCTCGTGAACGCGCTCCCAATGACTTGGTACAGACCAGACAGTCTTGAAACAGACTGTACATTGAGTGTTACCTGGAACGAGTTACCTGGGACGGCGTTACACCATTCCTCTTGGTTTCGACGGAGACAGGCGAACTGAGCGCTCCTCGTATTATGTATTCATGGGATCGACTGTAGATTGATTGGAGCCCGCAAGCGGATGTGTTTTGTGATTTTCAATCTCGGCAATCTGGATTGACATCAACACTTTGAACGGCTAGATATTTATTGTCCCCAGGAGTAAAATGGTACCTGGGTACTTGGTGTAGTGCACAAGCAGCAAATATTGGTTACATTAGGTAGGTACTCTGTACAGTAGGTAGCCCGTGCTGAAAAGCTTTGAGCATAATGTTGTTTCTCGCAACGTTAGATTGCATATGTGAGTGATCCACGATCTGCATTCCTCATCAACATGATGAAAGCATGGCGTATGGAGAAACAAGAGGGGAGTCTGAAGGAATCGCGACACTTGACTGGGCTGCTGGCTGCTGGGCGTTTTGTTGCCGTCCCCTCGGGTTCCCTGGGACAATGGAGAGCCCCTCCAAAGGCCCCAAGAGCTCCCCTCCAAAACGCGTCCCGACTCCCGCCAAATTGCCCCTCTTGATTGGGTGTCGGACGGGCTGACCGAGCTCGACCTCCCTACTAGGGCAACTAATGTAGAGGCGTGCGGACCAGCCAAAAAAGCCCAGCAAGCCCAGACGTGCGCTTGCTCCAGCGTTCAATCTCCAGTGAACCCCGGACCGGGTGGTTCTATCTCTATTCTGAAAGGATTGCCCATGCCTGCAAGTGTAAATTGCCCAGGCCCGGATATGACGGTCATTTTCCGGCAAAATGAATTGACGCGAAGAGAGCCAATGGGCCACCCCCTGGTAGGTGCGTTACATTCTGGGTATGAAACTAAGGGGCCACCTCAATGCGCTGCGACATTGGACAGAAGGAGGACAGGCAAAAAAAGACATTGATTGATTGGGATCGGGGACGGACTGGCACAAACACGTGATTTCCCACTCCTTATCCATGCCTAGGATCGCGGTTGCTTGTGTTTTTTTTTTCTCTTGTCTCGCCTCTTGTAAACAACATTTGCTGGTCATGATGCAACCTGACAAACGGAACTGGTGAAGAATATTATTTTACTAAGCAAAAAGGAAGAAATCAGACAATGCCAGTCAAACACGATGCAGTAGAGTCCTCAGCCAGTAGGCGGCCGCTAGCACAGAAGCTCTCTGGCCTCATCATACGGCGAGGCGGTCCAGGGAAAGGGGGTCCCAAGTCGCCAGAAATCATAGACGAGAAAGCCTCAATCTTCAGATTCAAGAGGCAAAAGAAGGCTCCCTCGCCAGAGGCTACGCCAGAATTCAAGCCTCTCGAGGTCGATTTGAACAGATTAAGTCTCTCGGAAGGATGGCTCGACACGCACAAGGACGAGGAGCTGGAGCAGCGGCAGGACGAGCACAAGCAGCAGCAGCAACAAGAACAACAAAATTCGTCAGACAACACCGACGACTCAACACCAATAGCTAACAAATATTCAACCATGCTGTCACTAGGAGTACAGGACCAAGGCAAAATTGACTGGCCATACCTCCAGAAACAGGATAGCAACAGCAACAAACGGCCATATTCCATGGTCGAGACCTCGAGCCTCGCATATAGGCGCCCATTACAGTCCAGCAGCGCCCAGTCTGTGGGCAGCGTGCTGGATCGTGGCAGACCTGTCGAGCCCAAGAGGTATGTCACGGATCCGCTGTGGAAGACAAATGCCATTCTGCCGGATCCTCCTGCGCAAAGCGCGCCAGTCGTCGAAAAGGCAACGACTTCGCGGCATGTTCCTCGCAAGTCTATCCAGTCGATCCACAATGACACCAATGCATTGTCTGCGACAACAAAGCATAATATTGCTGCCGCTCCTCAGGCCAAGGCCCCGGAGAAGCTGGATCGCGTTGGGCGCCACTCCATGTATGCGACGCCCAATCCGACAGCAGCCTTGCCTGCTCTGAAGCCAGTTTCCACTCCGTCATCCAGGAGTTCGTCTGCCAACCCGCTGGACAGGATTCAGCAATGGCAAAAATCTGTGACCTCGGCTCCGTCATCTAACCCCGGAGCCCCCGCCGCCAACCCCACAAGTGCGCCATCGTCAAATGCCCCATCGCGGAAGGCCTCCACCACCACCACACGAGGAGTTGGCAACCGCCTGGCCTGGATCAAGGAGCTGGAGGAGAAGAAGTCGGGTAGCCTTGGCCAAGATATTGGTGTCTTGAAAAAGGCATCGGGCAGCGTTTCTAACAGACTGGCCATGTTTGAGAGCAAGCAAGCCGCAGCTGCACCCCCGCTGAGCAACAAGAAGCCCCCGCTGACGAGGACCAACTCGACGACGAGCCGCCTCTCGTCCGTGGGCCTGGATTCCACTTTTTCCGCAAATGGCAACACAACGGCCACCCCCCGCACGTCGGGAGAGACGGTACGTTCCAGCCACCGCGCTTCTTCCGTTATGAGTTACTATGATGACTCATTCCGCGAGAAGATGGAGAATGTCGCCGGCAGCTACTCGGATGCCAAGGACAAGGAGAAGGAGAAGGAAAGCAAGCCCGAGAAGGCCGGTCTTCAGCGCGTCAAGACCTCGTTCGTCTCGGTAGACCCCAAGAAGAAGGCAGAGTCTGCGACCAGCGACTCTGATGTCAACGAGACAGAGGCCAAGGAGGAAACCAAGTCTGCAGAGCCAGTCACCGCTATCGAGCAGCCGGAATCCAAGACCGAGGACGAGCCCCAGGCCAGCCAATCGATCTCGCCAGTTGTCGAGACCGCCAAGCCCGAGGAAGAGATCAAGTCGGCGGAGCCGGCAGTCGCCGAGGTCAAGACCTCGGAGGAGCCAAAGGCCGAGCCTCAGCCCGTTGAGGCTGCTGCAGTCGAGAAGGCAGAGGAAAAGTCCGAGTCTTCCTAACTGGCTGACTCGTTTTCCGCCTACGGCTAAATGAGCAAGCTATTGCAATCGGCTTGGCCATGCAGGATCGGATGCTGGACCACTCTACAGGGAGCTTCAGCCTCAAATTTCTCAGCTGAATGCAATCCTACTCGAATTTACAGGCCATCTACAGTTTACGACAAAGATACTCAGCCATCAACAGGAGTCATGGCGCAGGAATCTGGTTATTCAAATGGGTACTATGATTGGATGAAGAAAAAAATATTTCTCTCTTGAGCTTTTGTGTGGTCTATTTAACGATTCACTTTTCTAACATGGGAGGATTTCCGGCTCGAAAAAGATGGTACTCTCGCCGCGCACACCCATTTGCAGCCAGCCATTTGCTTTTTTATTATATCTTTTTGAAACTTTTTATTTACTTTGTCACCATTGCAAAGCTTTTCAGAAGATGTTTGAGGCACTCTACGCGCCCGAAATAATTCTAGTAATACCTTTTTTACTTCGATTATGGTTCGCTTCTCAAACATCTCAAAAGCACTTGTTCTCATCTGCTCCAACGATACCACCAATACAATTTTTTCAACAATGACAAATCCTCTTTGCATCTTGCCTTTGGAATGTGCAACTAATTATAACATTACTTGGAAATTTCAATGTCTCACTTGGATAGGAACCACATACCTGGACTCACACTTGTTTGTCTCAAGTGCGCGTACTTTGGTCTTTGCGCCGTCAAGATGTGTCAATATGATTTGTTGGGTAATATTTGTAATTGTCTTGTGCTCATGCATAGTGAGCCTACATGACGAATACACCATGAAATCCAAAAGGTGCATATGACAGATACCGCCAACGCCTGACCAGCTGCCACCTTGCCCAGCTACCACCCGGGATATTTGTAGATTTTTACACCATGATATACAGTCCCTCCCACAGAGATAATATATATACAAAAGAAAAATGTGTCGTAAAAATGTGACCTTTACTAGTGCAAATACTCCTACACAAGACAACTCTGGCCGATTTATATCCTTGGGCCCCAGCCTCTATTTGACTTGGGTGGCATGCGCTCGAAAACCCATTTGCTGGCTTTGCCACTTTCAAAGCTCTTGGTGAATCTCGTACTCTCAAACGGTTGGTACATGTGGGGAATTAGTTGAGGCTGGCTACTGTACGGTACGAGTTTCCGCGGTCTTCCTCTTCCAGGGCCGCTCGAGCCGCCGACGGTACCGGACCCACCAGCACCAGAGACGGTAATCTTCTTTTGATTCTTCAAGATTTCCTTCAGTTCAGCCTCATCGTCGGTGATTTGGGCCTTTAGGAAAGAAAGATCGTTCATCGAGGTCGCATCGCTGAGGGATGCCATGACGGGGATGCGCGGCGTGTACGGGATATCGTTCAGCTTGGGCGCATACTTTTCGGGGATGATTGATGGGTCAAGATATGCCTCCCGGCCCTTCTCCAAAAGCTGGAAAATGTCAAGACTCTCTCCCGGGGCAATGGCCGTCGAGTGACTGGGCGTGACACAGTCCATGTCAACCTCCTTCCTCAGCACGTGATCAATGTCTATTGCGGAAAAGTATGCGCAGGCCTGTGGTAGATCATCAATGCCGACCTGCTGTGCAAACATGGCTCTGGTCCACAAATTGACCACTTGCAATGCCATGGCAGCACGGTACTTGTCCTCGTCCTTGACAAGGTAGCGAATCTCATCGTGGACGGTAATTGCCAAACGGGCATTAATGTTAAAACGTCTGGTCAGATAGTCCATTCCGACAATGAGCAGGTGCAGATAGTCGACACCACTCGACTGTATAGCCCAGTTGATTCGACTGGTAAGGAAACCGCCTTTGCTGACAAAGCGACCCATGAGAGCTTCCGTAATGCCAGCGCCTAGGACTGGTGTGCGTGGCCGGTCTTGTTCGGCAAACTCCTCAAGTTTGTTAAAGACAAAAGACTCGGTACCGCCTCGCCAGAATGGTCGTTTGTAAAGCGCTTTGCGGTTCGTCTTGGTGCCCTTAGTATTGGCGTACAGCTTGCCAGCCGTTTCGAGCGTCTCGGCTTCTGACAGACTTGGGTCAAATTGGCGTAGGAGTGTAGCGGCAAACTTGAGCCCGGCGCCATAGATACGCCCATAATTGAAGACCTTGGCATCATTACGCGTAATGCCCAGAATCGAAGCAGTACGAGAGTGTAAATCAGTACCCGCGGCCTTGGTACCCTCCAATGTCATGAAGCCAATGGCATTGCCACCGTGTAGCTTGAAAATGGCATCTCCAATGACACTCGCAATCCAAAGCTCCTCCGAGTCGACATCTGCACCAACAAAAGAATAGCCTGGTGGTGCTCGTACCATTGCCTTGAGCTCGGAACCGACACGATTTTTCTTTGCGTTGCTGGCCGTGAGCCATGTGTTCTCGACAGCTCTGCGCGTGATTGTACCCATTGGTATAATCTGTGGGAGAATGTAGCCCTGCTTGTGCGATTCCGCGGAAGTTTTGGCTACTGCGTTTGTCTTTTCGTCCTCATAGACCACCATTTGCGACATGATTCTGTCCCGTGCGCTGATCCAATACGAGCAGGAAGCATTCATTTCGAGCGCTTCTTTGGCATACGCAAATTCGGAAGATAGTGTTCCCTTGTCAAAATATGACAGATACCCTTTGGCCAGCGGATTCGCACATCGTGCTGTAGGGCCGTCCTTGTGAGGAAGTTTAATGTAGAAGCCTCCACGATCCTCCTTGATGGCTTCAATCGGTTCGTCGCTCATATCGCAACGCACGAGTTGAGTCTCGGCATATTTTGATTTATCCTTGACCGGAACCCTAAATGTCCAGCCATACTTGTCGGACCAGTGCAATGGGTATCCGTCCCACGCCAATCTCAGCAACAGCGGAGCCACTCGAGTTCTCACAGTGATATTGATTGGCATGTCCTTCTTGGTGAAAAGATCCTTGTACCATCTTGGCATGCCCGGCATCTTTTGACGAGCGGCGGGCCTTGGAGGGTCCCCCTTCTTTTTGCCCTTAACCATTTTGATCTCCATACCAGACCAATCCAATTGTCGTAACCATGGATCATTCTCCCACTTTTTCGTATCGTCTTTGATTGCAATGGCCTTGTCTGTGAGCCCGACCAGCCGTTCAGTGACGGCATCGGAGAGCCGGTGATATGTTGCCTCGGCGTTGGCAATGTAGGCATCCCACGACTCATTGACTGGCAAAATAACAGCCGAAAGATGCCGTAGGGCTGCAAAGCTGACGGGATGTGGACACGTCTCGAGAAAGTTTGGAAAGACAATTTTGTACACCTTGTGAGTAATGGCGACGTCGGCGGCACAATAATCCAAAAGGTGGTCCAACCTGCCGAGAATTTCCTCGCGGCTCGAGTCGCCGAATTCATCACGGGCAGCCTTGTCCAATGTTACATCAAGATGGAACTTGGCAACGTCCCTGAGCGAGTTGATTGCGCTTCGTTCGATCCATAGCTCCTCCTCCTCTTCCCTAAAATTGTTGTTGGCCAGCAGAGTAGCGAGTTCAGCATTATTCGTTTCCTTGGAGATTTTGTCCCGAAGCTCCCTGCTCTTCTTATGCTTCATCCACGTGGGTCGCTGCTGGGAACACATGCCATTTACTGCTACATGCAGTGACATGGTATCCAGAAAGCAATTACGCGTTTGCTTCAGGTCGTATTCTTCGAGTATCCTGGCGCGATCGTATCCAATATTGTGGCCGACTATGATTCGATCTTGGGATGGGTCACCCAGCGGAATAAGGTGCTTGTCATCCTGTGATTCACCCAGCAACCAAGGCGAAAGCCAGGCGTACCATGCGTTTGGACTCATTGCGCAAGCCATGACGGCGAAAGAGCTCTCCTTCCACATGACCTCGGTATCAAAGCACAAGAGCTTGTCGTCGGGCGCCTCGACAGCCTCGGTGCGTCCGTCGCTGTAGTACTTGGTCCAGCCACTTCGGCGCACCCATTTCCTCGGTCGCGGAGGTGCATTTTCCCTGGCAAACTGCTTTGCATGGCTCAGGAATGGTTCGGCACAGTCGACTCCCAGCTTGTGAAAGTGTTCGTCGAGACTCTGTCCCTGAATCGGAGGCACGTCAAAGGCAATCGGCGGGGTGTTGTCGGTGTTTTTTCCAAGAAGATCATGCCGCCGTAAATGATCTTTTGAGAGCTCGACTAGTTCCTTGGGCGGTGGCTTGCTGCCAGAGGGAAAGACTTGGTTGTAGACATAGGCGCTGAGGTGTTGAACGCCAATCTCGTTGAATCTAGCCTCAGATTTCCTAGCAAGAGACTGCGACTGAAGGAGTGCCGAGGTAACATCTTCTACAGGTTGCGCGGCGGCTGCCGTTGATTGTGATCTCAGTTGCGACGGTCTCAATAGCCATGCTTGTCGATGTCTTGGACCCTGCGCCGCTCTGTGTTTAGCGAGGCGCACGAAGCTTGCCTTTGGCGTAGGCCTCAGGTGCAACCCTGCATGATTGAGCATTGCTACCTTCTGTAAAGACACATGGCAGTTGGTGTAAGAAGAGTTGAAGTGGCCGAGGTTGCGATGAACTGATTGCGATGGCTGTGGTGTAGGCAATTTTTATCGCGACATGTATGACGAGATGGAAGCACCGTCTGGTCGACGATAAAGATGGGGGGGCAACTAAACTTTTTGCGAATGAGGGTCCTTTCCAGTGGTGCTGGTTGATGAGTCTAAAGTCATCTATCTAGTGGAGACTTGGCAAAGGTGGAGACGCGAAACCCAAGAGCCAAAAGCGCGCCAAACGCCAAATTTGGAGGCTGCAGGAATGCAATTTATCTATGCGACTGGGATCCAATCATTAATGCCAATGTCGGTCGAATTGCATGCATGACTTGATGGCGTTTTCCCATGTTCGCCACAGCATTGAATGGGGATTCAGTGAAGTACCAATGGTACAGTCTTATTAATCGGCTGTTTTTAAACCACTGATAATCCACTTTCACCACGCTTGGTTATCACGATGCACTTTTGTCGATGCTAGATCCTGGGTATTTGGATTCTTTCAACAAAATTATGTAAAATTGATCTTTCTCAATAACTGTATGTATAGTCGGATGACATCTGTCTAGGTAGGCATCAGGAGATCATGACGCCGCCTTGGCTAAAGCTTGAGCAAAGCGACTCTGGGCGCGGATTCGATCACCAAAGAATACCAAAATCCAAGGTTCTGTGCACAACAGCACAGCGATTCCACCAAGCAAACTAGACCCAGGTCCGTATTTCAGGCTCGTGTAGAGCTGCGTCGTGATTAATGGAAATATACCACCATCAATCTGCCATTCCTCCATGAGTTGCTCTTTGCATGGGGCATATGAGCCTGCCGCGACCGAAGCAATACTTGCTGCCACGCAACAGATCCAAATGACAGCCCATTTCCTAGCATTGCTCCAATTATAAGGATATATAATTCTAGGAGGAGGATGGAAATTATCTTGGACTTGCCCCGTCGCAGCCTTGATCAGAATCGGCTTTGGTGAAAGACCGCCAAGTTCGACCACTAACCAGGCAGTATCTGCCAATTGGAGATGCAAAATGCACAACGACGGTGAGCGCTCTACTGGGCTTTCCATTGTATCTGTCGGCATGGCTTTTCTTGAGGAGCGTCCGAAAACACAAAGACATTTGAGAAGAAAAATGAAAGGTAGTCTGGGAAAGCTCTCTCGTGTTATGAACCGAGCGAGATCATATCACAAGCAAATGAAAGGAATACCTAAAGAGCCTTCTCTCCTTTTCCTCTCTACTAGATTTCATCTGACTAATACTACAAAATTTTCCCGGGACGAATGGATTTTCCTTCTCCCTGACGGCCTTCCTAGTCATGGTCGAAAGCATGGTAGTAACAGTCCAAATGATGACCAAGTCGTACATGAAACGTTGAACACATGTGCGGAATCGCTGTCGACACTTGTTCTGCGGTGCGCCGTATAGTTGTCTTGAGAGGAGATTTGGAGACCCCGAATAATTCGGAGACCTAGACCTTTTACATTAGTGATTGGCGCTCACTTCTTCTTTGTACTCGACAGTTTTATGCTCATTGGCGGGCCACTGCCTTTTCTGGTTTCCACTGCGAGGTCACAAAATTACTCATGAAAACATAATTCCATTCTGCGCTCATTCCCGTCCCTGTCCAGCGACAAATCCTACACCGCATGGCCAAATCTAGACGGGGGATGAGCAAGAACATGTAATTTGAGACAAAATACCACAACGTCCCTGTTCAAGATGGGAGCACAATTAGATAAACAAATCTATTTACAATGCTGGGTGAGAACATTGGCAAAATAATATCACTGCTTTTCCTTAAATTGGGCCACCCAAACATCCATGGTCCTTATTGGCTCATCTTCCAATCGCTCAATCGCTATAAGAACCGCATCTCTCGACGTCTGCACCGCCAACCTGATTCTCTGGTCCGTGATGTTATCTGTCATGTCCCTCAGAAAACTTTTGCTCTTGACTGAGCCTGCCTCCCATTTACCGTCCAATAGCCCAGGCTCGGGCACCACCATGCTATCTGGACCGCTCATCACCCAGCCGGCCTCTGCAGCAATATCCTTGATCGAACCGGGGGTTAACGGGCTCCTCACGTTCTCCGAACTCTCTTCCCGGAAAGCCTCCAGCATCCCTCGCGCCAGCACGGCAAGCACATGCGGAACGGCCGCCTTTTCTGTAGCATGCATGGCGTATTCGGCAACGCAAATTCTCTTGACCCTTCCACGAAGTGCCCGGAGGATACTGGCCAGCACCAGAGGGGTAGCAAAATACCAAATACAATGGGCAAGAACCGCCACATCCCATGTATCTTGCTCGTTTGATGCTGTATGTTGGAGGAAATCCTCTGGTTCAGCCTGATGCCAGCGGATTCGCTCACCCACAGCGCTCTTGGTCAGGTGATCTTGTGCCTGAGACAAGGTGAAAGGCGCCCCATAGTCCAGAGCGCCCGGATCGACAGCATCAACGTGTCCTCCGGTGCCAACAATGTGGGCGAGTACAGCAGTGGCATTTCCTTGCCCGCAACCAAGCTCGAGGATACGAGAGCCCGGTGCGATATTCCAGAGATTGGCGAGGTTGATGCGGTGCTTTGCCTGAGCGATCTCGATCTCCGGATGGTCTGGTGGTTGCAGAGAGTAGGAGGCTATGTGCGCCGCTTCCTCAAGGGGAATCGGCTTGAAATGGGAAGTCATTTTTCTTGGCTGTCGTGAGAAGTGGTTTACAAGCAGTTGGAACCAGAGGCCAATTGCTGAGCAGATACCAGCCTAATTTCTACTTATATACAGCTTAGACCAAGGTCTCATATGATGGCAGACCAATATCAAATTGTCAGCATTCTTGAGTCATACTCTCGAGGTACTGTCTCGACCCTAGTAAAATTGAAGGAATAAATGCATGCATCGTAAAACATGCGAGAATGGTGTTGCGCTTCTCCCGAGCATAGCGCTCATTAGCCAGCCACCTTAGTGCGTGACTCACCATTTCATCCAGCATTTGCAAGCTGTTGATAAGCATCTAGCCCAACTCGGAAGTCGCGAAAGGATCTATGCAGTACAGCCTGGTCATAGTATAGCCAAAAGTCCCAGCATCGCCATAACGTCCCAATTGCCGCACAAGGCCTCTAGCATGCCCATTTTCGAGGATCATTGGGTTTATATGCGACGGCTCAGATCAATTAAAACAAAATTCTATTGTAAAACCGGCAAAAAGAGGAGTAGCTAGTTGTTGCAAAGGCATTTGGCTTTGACCAGTCGTTCTCCAATAGCTGTGCTCGCCACGCCAAGACTTATAGCAAGGCAGTATAATCTTAAATGCTTGGCCGAGCATTCGAGAAGAATATCGCCGTTCTCAAACAAGGGGAAGAAAAAAAAATTTACTTAGGGGTTTTCTGATTCATTCTCACCAATGTTTATGGATAGGAACTGGTCTAGGCATTTTGGCAGAGGGGTCCGAAGCAATCGAGAAAGTATTCCATAATCAGAAAGGAAGAAAGCAGTATCGCTTTAATTTGTGCACAGTGAAATGATATTACCCTCTGTATGTTGACTCAATTTCTATTTATCCTAGCAACCATTCCTTTTGATTTCCCTCATCCTTAGCCTTTGAATTTTTGTCAAGAGCTCAAAGTCGGTCCTCTTTTGGAGCTTTTCTCTGTTATCAACACCCAACCATAGAAGGTCCGGTCGGCTGTAGTGACCGTCGGCGATCAGGAGACCTTCCTCCTCCTCTCCTAGGTCCGAGGTGATGATGCGACCATCGGGAGCAATAATATATGCGCAGCCTCCACCGCCAATGTGGTACAGTTGACTATTGCCGAGGTTTTGACGCTCCACACCGGCCTTGGTGAAGAATGACGAGGCAGTTTCCTTCAATGGCATGAGTGATGGAGAGGTTTCGGGTCCCCTCGCGGCATTGAGACCAAACAGCAGACTCCTCTGGGAAATACTTGAAGTAGTTCATCGGTGGCCACGCAGCGACGTGGATCTGTTCGCCCTGAGAATAGGTATGGTACCTGAGCAGAGGCTGCGAATGTTCCCAACAGGAGAGGCCAACGACCTTGCCCGCCCCCGGCTCTTCGGCAACGTTCATGAGAGAGGCACCGCTGCCATCGCCTGGCAAAATCCCCATCATGTGGAATGGTGATGGTAGGGCTATCGTACCTGACAGCTGTAGCATTGAGGTCTTTGAGACTCGACGTGGACTAAATCATGTGTCAGATGATTTCGATGAGCTGAAACCCTTTTCACAACCATGGAGGGTGTCGGAACAAGAAAGATGGCATTTTACCAAAACCTTGGAACCTTACTCGCCTTATTCGGACCGTTTTGATCTGCCATGTAGGTTATCCATGGTCCGTTACCTGGCGGGATTCATGGACGACTTCACTCATCACCATCCATTTCTTCACATGCCAACTTTACGCATCACAAAATACGCGCACAGCCCGGAAATCGTGCTTGTGATTCTCGCCATGGGGCCCAATACCGCTGTGAGCATTATCGTGCGCTGAGCCTTCTACATGGATGAATGCTCGTATCGCTACCATTGGGGCCATGTTACACTTGTCGACTTTTGCAAGTTGTTTAGCGAGAATACAAAAGATGCCATCAGTCGTGAGTTACCGGTTACCCGTCTGCCATAATTTGTTCTTTGCTAATGTAGAATTTCGCAGAGAGTGAATCTCAGATACTAGACTGGGCAGTCGCCATCGTGGCCGAGGTTCAAGCGTCATTGGGCGAGGTCTCAGACGAGTCTGGACTACCACCAATTCTAATCTCAACAGACCATGCTACGCACCCTGACATGACCAGTCGATTGGCAATTTCTGTGCTAGATATTTTTGCCCAGATGTTCCATAGAAGTAACGGTGCTTGGCCAATCACTTTCATCATTGGACAGAGTTTGGGAGCCTATGCACGCATTCTACGCGACGAATTGGCTGTTTATCACGGCGGTGAAGTTGGCTAAACAACTCAAGTTTCTCAGAATACCCAAGAGTCAAACAAAGGCGAGTTGTTGGTTTAAATAGTCAGATCGGCTCTTACAATGGCTACTACCTTGCCCTAATGTCGGGCAGTAGGCTCAATGTAATGAGCTACGGCCTAGATCATCCATCACCAAGGGAGAAAGGATCCTGAGAAACTTTGCAAATGATATCTCTTGTTACTGTTATCGGTATCATTATTTTAATCCCCGCCCTGTAGAAGAATAGCAACGTCTAGCAACGTTCTTCCGAATCGTGATTGATCTTCTCATTATTGTTAGTATTGTTTGGTTCTGCATGCAACAAGCATACCGACTCAGGATCGTTGACAGTGGCTAGCAAGTCTCCGACTTCTACATAGTCGTGACTATATATCCGATAAATATGCATCACATGTAGTATTATTGATCATGGCAAGGCGTTCTGGAATGTTGGGCTCCTCGAGTCTTGGGGAATGGTTTATAAAATAGTTCGAACCGTCCATAAAGGTTGGCATGACGTCAATATCAGTTTCCCTTCCGCTTATACGAGTATAGAAAGGGTGGAGAAAGCTCAAAAATCCTCGGACCGGATGTTTTCGCAAGCTTTCATATCACCACCGGCTGCTTGTTTATCGTGCAGATTCAAGGAGTTCCGGACTAGCTTGGAGTATTTGATTACTCAATGTAGTCCATGAACCGCAGCCATCGGCACGTATTGGTCTGGTTGGTGCGTTGGTGGGGGAGCTGCGGAGCTGCCAAAAAGGGTCGTGACTTGTACTCGTCCTGATGTTCAGACAATGGGGACCTACATTCAGATTGAACAAATTGAGCAAGGCCATATTTGATTCAAGTACGCATTTGATCTGAACAGTTCACGAGCAGATGCACGTCCACAGCCGAGGGGTGAGATGAAAGTTGAATTTCAAGTAGCTCCGTCCAAGCTCCGTACAGCCTCCCCCATTTTCCATAATCCGTAAAATAGAAAACCCAACCTAACATGCTTTGTTAGCCTTTACTGTATGTAGCACCTGCATCTGTCTTTGTCAAAGCTACAAGATTTGCTAGGTAGAGAGGTCGAGAATCGAATGCACGGAAGTAACCTCCGGTCCAGCCCAGGCGTTTGCTTACTCCCGGGATATTGCCCTCTGCCAGACGTGTCTCGTTTGCCTAATACTTCACACCTAAGTTTGAACGGATCAGGGAAACAGGACTAAGAAAAAGGACACTGCATTCTCACCACCAATGGGCGAGACAGTTTAGCTGGGCTGGAATCCTCATCTTGTCATTTGTTGCAACTGTGCCCCCGTGGCTCCGTGGCTCCATGGCTGGCTGGCTGGCTGTCTGTCTGGCTTTCTCCGCTTGTACGCTCCGTGCCTCTAGGAAGCTCTGACAACGTGCTTGCTGTCGTGGCGATTCAAGACCACCCCAACTTTGTACATCCATTTACTTGGCCGCATCTGGCGTATCCATGGCGCGTATTATGTGCAAGTCTCGTAGTCACCTTTACCCAACGGCGGCGATATGTAAGGCAGGCTAGCACGTAGGTTAGACTGCTAGGGGTAGGCAAAGGTCAGAGAAATGATGGTTTCATGAGCTGTCTTTTTTTCCGAGAAGGAAAGTCAATATTATCCCTGGCTGCCTGAACTGGATAAATTCTCGAATTTCTTTCGTCTGAGCTGTGCTTTCCTTTTACGAAGTGACTCGATCGCGCCGTGCCACCACACTCACGTATGAATAGCGAGCCACGGCCGTCGTTTGCTCTAAAGTGAAATCGTGCCCATCACCACCTTCACAGCACCACCACCTTTGGCAACCTTGCGATTCGCCGCACTGAGCAAATGACCCCAAACCCGGCACTGCGGCAGGGACGGAACGACGGAACTCGGTCTTATTTGCACATCTCTTGACGACTGGCGATTTTCTTTTGGGCAGAGCCTGGATAAGAAGCATTCATGCTTCGGCCAGCATTGTCGAGGAGGAATTGTCGGATCTTGGAGTTTTCGGCCAGCAAACAGTCTCAATGCTAATGTTAGGTCGGATGCGATGTTTGCAAAATCGGAACCTACGACACATACTTTTCTAAATACCTACCGAGGCATTCCTTAAGGCGCAACAAATCGTACGAATCCAAGCAGTGGTCTCAGATCCTTTCATCCTACGGGCAAGATGGCCGACGACCAACCCAGTCCGCACCGACAGCGGCACATGCAAGGTACGAAGGACCCGAAAAGTCGAAGTGAAAAAGGAATCTTTGAACTTTCTTTTTCTGTCTTCTCTTTTGTTTTGTCCTCGTTAATTCTTTAACATCGGCGAAGCAAGTATGCATATTAATTTATAGAAAACAGCAGCAATATCACCAGCAAACAATCATGGCGAGAACATGGAGGACCCGCATGGGGACGAGGATCTTGACGCCCTTGCCTACCAGCTTACCGACGGGCTGATGGATGCTAGCGGCACCATCGGCGCCCAGGATCCTTGGATGCCGGCAACCTCTGGTTCCTTCCGGCCAGCCGTCGAGTACAACCAATTCTATCCTTTATCTTCTTCAGTCTCCAACCTCGAACCCAACCTGTCAGGCTCCACGTTTCCGCCTGCTGGCCGACATCTCCCGTCGTTCCATGAGGGCTTTGGTGAGACTCTGAGCGCGGACGCGAATCAAAATTCTTTGTGGTACCTGCCACTATCACTACCCGCTACTTCGACAAGGACGACGACGGCCATCGGGACTCAACAAGACTTTGACATCTTTCGTGCCGCTAATGTATCGGACAACTCGAGACAAGACTTTTCGCAGATGCCAGTAGAGCCAGGCAATTCCAATTCCCTAGGGGACGCATATGACAACTTTGGCAACCTCGGCGGAGGGTCAATAAACTCTGCTGCTGCTGGCGACGATCTATTTGCCCCGCTACCCTTCAGCAGCCCACCCCAGGATTCTGACACTGATGCACCCTCCTTCAACCAATATTTACCTCCAACAACAACAACCACACAACCACAACCCAGCGGCACCTTGAATCACAGCGCTTCAATTCAACACACTCCTTGGTTGCCCCCACTACAACAGTCTTTTGGTATCCCGGCTGGGTCCGGTGGCAGCCACGAGCCAAATAGCGACGATCAGTTCATCGGACTACTGGGCGGCGACTTCCCATCTCCCTCGTTGCCACCACTTAGCAGCAGCCCACCCAGACTAAACAGCACCAACACCCAAGTCTCACCGGTAGTTCCTCAATCTTCTTTCCTATCGCGAATACGGGGCATATTCAACACTATGCCGACCCAAGCGACGAGCCACACGGCCGCATCGGAAAGAGGTCGAAGACCCAGGGCTCCGAGCCTGGTTGACCTCACGTCCCCTAAGTTGGACCGCGAAGGCGATGCGCACCGAGCCCTAGATCGCAGCACATCCATGCGAGCTCCCAACTCGAGAAAACGTACTCGCGACAGTACTACTGGCAGCAGAGCCGGTACGACCGAGAGACGAACGCCATCTTCTACCAAGTCACGACCGACCAAAGCCCTCAAACGCCAGATTTCCAAACGCGAAGATGACCCATTTGCCGAGTCATCTCCCGCGCCACAGGCCGAAGATGATGTGCTGGACCTCACTGCCACTGATGAGCTGCCGCCCGAACTACAGCTGCCCAAGGTCGACAATCGGGTGAAACTCAGCAAATTTCAGTGCTCAATCTGCATGGACGACGCCACTGCTCTGACAGTTACGCATTGTGGTATGTTATTCCAATGTCCGCACATTCGTTTCTTTTTACTAACAGGCTCATCTAGGTCACCTATTTTGTTCCGAGTGTCTACATTCCGCCCTGCATATAGATCATCTTAAGCGAACATGCCCGATTTGCAGACAGAAAGTCGAGCTGAAGACGAGACCCGGTGCAAAGCAGCCCAAGAACTCATTCTACCATCTCGAGCTCAAGCTAATGACGGCGAACCGGAAGGGCAAGAGACCGGTTGGCCAGTAAATTCTCGTACCCAACTTGATGCGCATTGGGAAGGCCTGGAGTACCAACAGGATTTTGTGTGAATTTGATGGCTGTTTGACCAAATTGGCGTATTGCATGGATTGGCGTTTTTGATTTGAGAGATTCAGAGGCATTCGATACCCAGATATTTTCAAGATGAGGGAAACGGGAACGAGAACAAAAGCACGGCGAGAAGTATTTGATGGCACTGGTAGAACATCTGGCCTCCTACCATACATCCTGCCGTGTTTCTTTTGAGCTGTATCAGCATATACCAAGAGCTTGGCCGCTGTCAATCAGGGAGTAAGTGAGCATTTATAGATAGCGTTCTGGCCAGCTATTACGAAGGATTCACGTATACGAGCTTCGTATATAAATAATGTATTTCGACCAAACGAGTGCATATCTTTCTCGTGATTTAGGTGTAAAGATGACACGGCTATAGAATTACTGCGATGCTAGTCAGGTGTCCTCCATTTGGGCAGTTGCCTGCATGGTTGTCTTATTACTTGGCTACACACAGGTAATAGCAAGCATCGTGGATGGAACGGACAAGGCTTGAGCCAATACAACCTACTGGCTTTCCAGATCTAACTGAATGATTGGAGCACAAGGTTGAACAAAAAAGTTGAACATCACAAATGGCCTTGTTCAAGGTACAACTATATTGCTACAAATCTAGACACGAATCTACAAGACAAGAAAACTACATCTTCTACATTGCCCGTCGCTCATCATAATATTCCATCTCGGTCTATAATGGGGCTGGCAGTCTCGTCGGCGTCTCCTCCTTCTCGGCCTAGTAGCCCTCTCTCTTCCACGGTATCACCGTCTTCTCTAGTACGTCCCAGTCGTCCACCGACGCCGATGCCGTCCTCTTGCAGGCCCTGGCGATCTTTCCGTGACTCTTCGGCCCCGTTCAAGACAAACCAGCAGTCTTTCTTGGTGAGGAGCCCGACCAATTCGCCACGCTCAGTGAAGAGGACATATCGCACGCCCAGCTTTTGAAAATAGGTCACGGCGAGGTGTAGGGAGCTGCGGGACGGCAAGGTGAGGGGCGTCTGGTCCATCCAGGGTCTGAGGTCGAGCGTGCTTCTCGGGTCCGCGAGGGGTTGGTGCGAGAAGAAACATTCTGTTTCCGGAGGTAGATTACGGGGTGGCGATGTTGCCGAGGTGAGATTGTAAACTAGCTCTGAACGACTAATATAACCCAAGAGGACCGCCTCTCGAGGATCCGATATCACTGGGAAGCCGCGATATTCACACGACTCCAAGACATTACGAAGAGAGGCAATGGTGTGACCGGTGGCCGTGAGCACGACTAGATCCTCGATGCGTGTCATAATTTGGCCGGCCGGGATATCCGGGACGCTCTGAGCACCATGCCCGTCATCACCTGAATCAAGAAAGGGATATCCATTGAAATGTATCCACGATTCATAGATTCCGCGGCGAGAAAACGCATCGCCAACCCATACCGACAACATGACAGCAATCATGATGGGCAAGACATAGGTCAACGCGCCCGTGAGCTCAAAGGTAATGACAACAATGCTGACAGTCATGCGAGTGACGCCCGCAAGTGTCGCGGCAGCACCGATAATGGCATACACACCTGGTGTGATGCACGGGACATCGGGTTCGCATTTACTGAATGCGATGAAGCCTGGATGATTGTGTTGCCAAATCTCCATGATGATACCCACAGCTCTACCACTGAGTGCGCCAATGGCCATGCTGGGCAAGATGATACCAGCGGGTATTTGCAGACCAAACGTGATGGAAGCCAAGAAAAATCCAAGCACGGCAGCAAAGAGGAGAAGAACAATGGTACCGGCTGTCGCTATACCGGTTTTGCAAAGTCCAAATGGATCATCGAGAACCTGCGTGCAGTCTGAAAGCAGCGAAGAGACAATCTCCGACGATTGTGCTCGCATATAATGATTTGGGTAATTGATAAGCGCTGTGAGCAGCGCAACGAGTACGACTTGGGTTAGTGGACCTGGGAGAGGCCAAGTGGTTGACTTTTTCCAACGGGCCACGGCCATGTTGGTTTTGATGAACAGACCGCCATAGATGCCGCCCATGATGCCTATCAGTGCAAATGGGATCATTTCAAACCCATGCCAGCCAGATCCATACTTGACTTGAAACAAGACGAGCTTGCCAGAACGGAATGGGTCAAAGGCTTGCAGCATCACGGCCGCAGTCATGGCACAGACAAATGACTGCCACATGGTCTTGTCGGGAAAGTAGTATGAAAGTTGCTCGAGACTGAAGAGCACACCTCCAATAGGGGCTCCAAAAGCAACAGAGATGCCAGATGCCGCGGCTGCCGAGATAACCTCGCGCTTTCGGGCCTCGTTGTCGTTGACACTGGGGAAAAGCTTGATGAGTAGATTTGCACAACAACAAGCTACGTGGACCAGTGGACCTTCTTTCCCTAACCACATGCCAGACGCAACAGCAAGGGCCTGTACACTATTAGTATGAGTTTGAACCGTTGGTAAAGTTTGGCAATCCTACCAAGCCCAAACTCTTTATCAGCAATGTCCAACCACCAAGAAATCTCCTGATAACGAATCCTCCCAGCATGGTCTTGATCTCGGGAATTCCACTATGCTTGGCATAAATCGCGTATTCCTTGACCAAGACTCCCGCGCACAGGGCAAAAGTGACTGAAAGCATGAGGAAGAAGAAGTATTCAATGAACCACTTGCCGCCAGCGCTGGTAATACCCAACGCTGTGGCCCAAGGTTTCCAGCCTACACAGTTTGCGCCCTGGTCGTATCCATAACAGCAGAAATTCCGGTTCAAGTAAAAGGCGCCGCCGTCTGGCCCGGACGCGCAATATCCTGATTTTAGATCGGCGAGCCAGTCGGATGCAATATCGATGCCTGCAGCGAGTGCGCCAACGGCAATGCCAGTGAAAACAAGAATGAACCATATCTGGGATGCGTCGAGAAGTTGTTGTATGTAACCCACCAACCCAGTGGCACTGGAGTACAATACTCGTAATCGCTGTCTTTCTTTTGTATACTCAAAGCTCCAGTCAATGGCCGTAAGATCTTCGTAGCCTACTCGTCGCCCAGGCCCTTCCACATACCAGTCCAAGGGTATTCCATCTTTTGATCCGTTGATTATGCTTCCTCCTGTCTGACTGCGCGTCGGGGTATCGATGCCGAGCCCCTGTAGGCGGGTTGGCGTGTTACCACCCGACATGTTCGGCGATCGAGGGGGTGTACCGAGGCGGTTGCCTGTGATCGCCGAGAGCAAGCGGCTCGGGCGTGACAGTACCGTCTTGTTCTGCTTTTGTTTCCTCTTGAAGCTCATGGGCTCGCTCATTGGGTCGTCCCCGAGGAGATCGCCATCTTGGGGCGCGGAGAAAAGATCAAGGTCGTCATCGTCGCCGTCTTCCTCGCCGGCATCGTGATCGGGGCGCCGCTGATGCGCTCGCGGCGGCGGTTGGTCGCTGAAGGAGTGCGAGGAGGACGACGAACCTTCCTCTCCTACTGATATCCTAGTGGCCATGCTGGAATGACAGCAAGCGCAACTGCCATGTTCATTCGTCCGACTATTTCGCAAGTTATTCAATTGCTCCGGGTAAATAAATACAGTCGATGGGATGCTGCGCAAGCATTATGTTTGCGACAAGGCTGAGCAGGGGCATCGTGGTAGGGGGTTACGTAGCTCTGCGATAAGCTCCGATAATGTCGGTCATGTACCCAAGGAATCAAGCTAGCGGTTACCAGCTCGTTACCCAGCTTGCCGTTTGTGACATGGTGTCCAACATTTGAACCTTTAAATGTTGCTCAACAATGAGACCCGAACCTACAAACTTCTTAACGAAGTAAGTAGAGTAGTATCGAGCTCGATTTTTGTTCAAATTTCGGCTTGACTTGAGGTTATTTCTTGTCCAAATTTACTAAGCATACATTCTCAAACGTTTTCAGGGCTCTATCAATCAAGTGGATATCCCAGCTTGGAGCAAAATTTGGGCATCACTACCGGACTCAGTCCTTTTATGGCAACAGCATGAACACCTTGGAACAATGAGCGACCAAGGTGCAACAACAGCACACGAGCAGCTGGGAACAGGCTCAAGCTCTCAGGATGCATCGCTGGAGAGGATCGTGGAACTTCTCAAAGCAAAGGATGACACTTCGCGTTTCGTTGGCCTTGCCCTTTTAAAGTCGACGCTAGATTCATCCGAACAGCTCAGAAACGACAAATTCGTGGTCACTACGATATGGAGCTCCATATCGGCCAAATTCCTCGATCGTCTACTTCGGACAGGTTCAAAACCAGGGGCAAGACAGGCAGATGCCAAGGAAATGCTTGATCTTGCTGCCAACGTCATCTATACGTTCGCGGTCCTCCTCCCCGAGGATGCAAAAGCCGAGGACAAGCTTCTTGGACGAATTCCGCTCTTGGTAAATGCAATCATCCAGAGGTATGCACTACTGCTCATTGATCAGAATCTGTCAATTTACTTATCAAATCAGCTCGGAAGAGACGACCGATTTCATTGTCAAGACACTGCTTACAATTGTAAGCTCATCATCTGAGGGCAGCGATGCACTTGCAGCAGTTCAAGACTGGTCTCCTTTGATCGAAATAGCCCCAAAGCAACCCTTGGTCCTGTCTATCTTGTCATGGACCTGGATAAATGGCACGCACGATGCAAAAGTCATGTCCCAAAGAATCGACGAATGTATCAGCTCCTTGTGTGCATCCTACAAAGGCACCGATGCAGTCACTTTATTGGACTTTTTGGGCAAGATTTTAGGTCGCCTCAATACTGATGTAAGTGCCATGCTCCAAAGTGTTGCATAAAGTCTCATGTTAATAATTTATTATAGCTTCTTCTAGAACGCCCAACATGGTTGCCTGCAGCTATAGCCTTTGTTCACGATCTAGCAAGATCCAAGCCAACGGCAATGAGCCGTGAGGCGTACACAAATTGTGCTGCCAATCTCCTCGTCACCTATGGTGACATGGCTAGCCAAATTTTGTTTCGAGACATCTTCAAGTCGTCTAAATCACTCTCTTACCTCTTTGTGAGCCTGATCTTGATCGACCTTCGCTCAAGCCTCCCAAACTTGCTTGCAAAGCTGAATACTGCAGAATATCCGGCAATCTCCGAAAGACTGACATCTGCGCTTATAATTCTGTCATTCTTTATCAATCACTTGCTTGAAATGATCGATCTAGCCGAGTCTGAGGACATCTTTCAAGAAGTGCAGCCGGATCTTCTCCTCAAGCTCCGAGATTCGGTCATGGAAGCATTATCATTGGTCTTGGAATACCTGAGAGACAGGTGGGATGCTGCAGTCTCTGGAGCTCAGGGGCTCCACCCCGATGCGCGAAGTGCAGAAGCACATACCGGCAGTGGGTCTCTGAAAACACTGGCCTGGGACTCCAAGCACGAGTCTGCTTCCGAGGATCGTCTCTTGTTGGCAGCTTTGAAATCTCTTGGGGACTGGTTGAGAGAGGACGATGCTCCTGGCTTGAGGCGAGAGGCTACAGGTCTTATAGACCTCCTCATGGACCTTTACCAACCTAGTACGGCAGCCCGAATCGGACTTGCTACACGGCCTCTAGTGCTGGGAGTACTCGATGGAATTCTCAAGGAAGATGACGGCGTGCAAGCACTTTTGGAATACAACGGATGGTCGATTTTGAGTCAAGATCTCATACTTATACTTTTAAATTCGGAAAAGACTGGCCGCTCCGAACACGAGCTTGGCCAACACATCTCGGCAATCCTAATGGCACTCAGCGAAAGCAAATCAACCACACCGGATGACTGGTTGGATCTCATCACGGGCGTGGCGGCCTACGACGTCCCGGCGCTTTCCCAGCCTCCCATCTCTCTGCAGCAACTCTGGGCAGACCTGCTAGAGCTCTGTATCTCGTTGCTTATGAAAGCACCCCCTGGCGTCAAAAGGCGTTATACACATTCAGCAAGCGCTCTAGGTGGCATTGGAAAAGTGATTTGCCAGAAAGATCTAGAGGATGACATTAGAAGACAGATCCAGAGTGCCACGGCCCAGTTGTACGACGATTCCATTCTCAGCAGATCCCAGTAATATAGCACTGTCTGCTCGCCAAACCTGTCACCATCGCCTTGATACCTTTAAACTCTCACGAGATGATCAACCAGTTTCTCATTTCACCCTCTCGTTGAATACTACATCGAATGAGGGCAAGGCCATGGTAAATGCATCCATGATTGTTGCTTCGTACGAATGCCAGTCTGTGTTGGGTGGAAACTTCAAATCGAAGCCGAGAGCGACTCTTGCAACCACGCTTCTCACCTCGCGCATGGCAAGTGGTTTGCCAACGCAGGCATGCTTGCCTATACCACGACAGTCAGCCTCGGAAAGGACACACAAAGAATGAAACCTACCAATATTGAAAGGGAAAAAGGCCTCTTTTTCGCATTTTAATTTCGAATCGGCGCTCCATCTCTCTGGAATGAACTCTTCCGCCCGCTCAAAGAAGCGCTCATCACGGTGAAGCACCCATGTGGGAGCCAACACGTCTACGTCTCCGGGAATCCAGATTTGCGGACCAAATTTGGATTCTGGGATAATCAAACCTTCGGGGCCCGTCGTACGAGGGTTGCCACTTATTCCTGCTGGGCGTACGCGTAGCGTTTCATTGATGATGGCGTCGACCCACTCGATTGTCTCTTTGTTGCCAATAAGGGTCGCATAACTGAAGGATTCTGGACCATCGGGGAAGAGCTTATCTAGGAGCTGCTGTAATTTGACAAGAGCAGACGGCGTCGCAGTCATGAACCAGATGGCGTTTGCCAGCACACTCTGTGTAGTGTCGGCACCGGCAGCAATCATGACCCTGCTGTCCGAGTCCATCGCCTCCTGAGTCGGCGGCGCCGAGGGTCCACCTTCCTCCATGGCGTCCAGCAAGTGGGACATGACGTCTTTGCGAGTTTCCGAATCCTTTTTGCCCGACTCACGATCGGCCTTGTGCTGAATTTGTCGCTCACGGACCACTTCGGCGCACAGAGCCAAAAAGGGGACAAAGTCACTGCCACCACCTGGGAGAGCACTGAGTAGACCCATGAGCCAAGGCACCCACCGCAGACCTGCCCAAGCATAGTGCGCTTTCCTCATGGCGACGAGAGCAGGGTGAGATACACCCGAGACCATGGTTCCGTACTTGTTTCCAAAGCCAACAAGCGCCATGATGTCAAATGAGAGCCTCCCCATTACTGCAGGAACGTCGAGGGTACCTTGTTCTTTCAACTTTTGCAGAAAATCGCCAATGATTTCCTGTATATCAGCATCAAACTTGTCCATGGTTGGGGTGCTGAATGCTTGCTCCCAAGGTCGTCTCCGCTGCTTGTGGTCGTCTGACAGTCGCGAAAGGGAGAAGCTGAGCTTGCTGTGGTCATTGCCCTGGTGTGACCACCACACACCCTTTCCCAGGGCCATGAGCGGTGTCACTGCATCGGCACGGTTGACCGTAATCATGCGTGGTCCTAAGCAATGTTTAGTCTACAATCGTCTTCAAAAAGGTTAGGGGTAACAAACCAATGCGGACAACATCACCATGCTCACTATGCCAAGTGTTCAGTTTCCTATGGAACTTGTACTCTCCAGAACTTTGTTTCACTGTCCAGAATGCGCTGAAACGAGCGGCAAAGGGTCCAGGGACATTTCGCAAACGGTGGAAGAATCCACGATAGACAAGTATCGAGCTGGCAAGACTGACCAAGAACGCCGAGACAGAAAGCCCCAACTTTGAAAGGGCGACAAGAAGCGGCAGATTCCAGGTATTGACAAACCACCATGTCAAGAGAAGACATGACGCGATGGCTACGCCGACAAGCTGCAAGGCCAGAAAGTCGACTTCCACCCTCCGGGCATATACATGATGGAACAAGACGCCGCTCAGTGCCGAAAGACCGAGGATTGTCTTGTCCGAAGGAACAGTTTCGAGCAACATGGTGAACTATCTGATAATAATTCAAGTGTTTCTCTCTCTCATACGACTTCCAAAACACATGGGGCCTGGCGGTACGATTGTGCTTATGTATCAAGGCGTGCCATGAGCGCAATCTTGCCAGTCACCCACATATACCCCGGTGATGGATTCCCTGTTGGGTGAGTCTGGCCGTTATGGTAGGGAGGGGCCAGTGATGAAATACACAGGCCAGACATCTCTGAATCAAAGACCCTGATAGGCCTTGAGAGACCTGGGAGCGATATTTTGGAGCTCCAAGGCGTCGTACCGGGGCTAGACGTCTCTAGTTGCCAGACTAGCGGGCCGACTCCGCAGAAAATTAGTTTGTTCTTAGCTGACTTACCCGAATTGCGCTATAGGTCGGGTGTATCGTGGAATCTCGATGACCGGCGGCCGCACTTTGTTGGCCAAACCATTATCCCAGGGTCGTCTGAGATAGGCAAGGGACGGACGAAAGCAGTGTGACGGCACCCACGATTGCCTCGATAAGGCATGATATGTTGCGTCACGGGACATCCAAATAGCCAGAGGCAAGAAAATCCCAACATGTAAGGGCGTTGATGAATAATCATGACTGGTCGAAACAGAACCACACCCCTGCTTGCATTGTACGTTAGTTACCCTTTTCATCTGTACTTTCGCATACATGGATTCCTTGGCTCTGCGCGGAAATCATTACATTAGTCGCGAGACCCGCGCCATCTTTCCACCTCTGTACATGCGGTTTGATAAAAGAGGTCCACCACTGGAAACAGAGAAAAATAAATATATTTACTAAAATATGACTAATGGTTATGTACCCCAAGTGCGGAATATTCCTGACGTTGGAAAACTTACTGAGCTACCTAGTACTCGGGGAGATTTGGATCCTAGCTCTCATCATGGATAAGCCTCATGAAATGGCCCAACGTTGGTTGTTGGATTCTGGACCCCAATTCCAACGGCTAGCGGTGAAGGAGGCTCAATAAAGTATCGAGTGCCGGAGCCGTTGTCGCTATTTCTGCAAGAGACCACAACTACCCGTTCTTTGGGCTCCGAAAGGGCAAAAAACAAAGGGTCGAGATCTACAGTAGTGTACGATGACAAGTGGAGCCCGCCCGTCATCCTATCTGGAGATCCTCTTTCTGTTCTCTTACCATGTCAGCCCATACAAACTATCGAGAGCCGGTGGGCGGATTTCTGGGTCGGATATCCGGTTCAGCAAGTGGAAACCGCAGCTCATTACTACAATGAAGCGGCAAGTCCTTTTCCCGTTGTTATTTCCGGCGTCTGTCTGAGCAATGGTTGATGGCTCTGCCGGCCGGATGTGTCGAGTCAAGCAATGAATGTCCATCTTTCTTTATACGGAAAGGGAGAGCTGTCACTAGAGGGCAGCATTTCCTTTTTGAATGGAGAAAAACAGGCAGATTGGCAGCATAAAACCGCGACTTGTGGGGTCTCTGGCTTGTCTAGTCTACTTTTGCCGCTATCAAAGCTCTGGTAAACGAACGTCTCTTTCACTATACTGTTATATCAAAACCGGCACAGCCCTATCTTGTGCTGGGACCTATCAAGGGAAAATTCGCGCGTCTTACGAGTTCAGGCGGGTCGACGCCAAGAATTTTGCAAACTACCTGTAAATACCGCTGCCAAGACTTCTGCGAGTACTGCGTATTGCATTAAGAATGGGTCATGTATCACTGGTCTTTTCGACACTCGTTCACAAATAATTACTGCTCATAATAATTAATTCCCAAGCCAATCGCCTCGCACTGCTCCAATTCCGAAAATGATTGCTGGATACTCGGCCATTGCAGCGTGCGTCTGGTCAGATTGTCCTTGGTAGCTGGCAGCCATCGACCGGCAACCTCCAACTCGTCAATCGTGTTTTGATATCCTCTTGCCTCTAGGAATCCGGCGTCTGGGTTTGGATCAAACGTCCTTGCAAACGACGAAAACGAGTCGAGGACGAATTGCTCAAACGGAAGGTCATTCTCGTCCCGCATTGGCAAGCCTTGCCGCGCCAGGTTGCCAAAGACGTAGTACAGCTCGCCCGAGTGGCACTTGAAGTACTCGGCATCGGTGTCGCCATAGGGTCGCGAGGCCGTCTTGGGCGGCTCGCACGTGTCGAGCCCTGGCCAGCCTGTTGTCTGGTACGACCGGTTGAACTCGTAGTAGTAGACGTCGGGCTGGAAACGCCCCGAGCGAAGGCCCGTGTAGACTGTGGCCTGGTCGATGCAGCGGAAGATGCCGCCGGTCGCGAGTCGCGAGGACATGTTGTAGAGTGCGAGGGTTTGATTCTCGAGCGTTGGGATTGGATACAAATTGGCAGGAGGAATGGGGAAGCCGGAAGTATTGAGGTACGTCTCCTCATCCGTCGTGGTTGGATAGCTGATCATGGCAGCGCCGTCATCACGCATTATACCAATGAGGATCTTCGCGGGTAGCGGATCTCCGTATAGCTGCAGCTCATCAGAGGTCAGGTATGTACCGTCGACTACGGGATACCTAGCCGATGTGCCAAGGTTGGCGATGTCATAGGCCGAGAATGCTCTCAGGCAGTTGACCCGAGAGGCCGCATTCGTGCAGTTTGTGGCATTCAGAATCGCGTTTCCGGCAACTTGCATCTCCTCTTCGATTGTATAGTACTTGGAATAGGTCGTTCCATATTGGATGCCGCCTAGGTTACTCATGGGAATGGCACCGGCAAACTTGCCAACGGACTTCGGAGAAGCGAGAAGTGCGCGAACACTTCCGGCTCCGGCCGACTGACCAAAGATGGTGATCTTGTCGGGATCGCCTCCGAAATCTTTAATGTTTTTACGAATCCAATCCAGTGCATTAATCTGGTCAGCGAGTCCAAAGTTTCCATTGGTCACACCATCGTCGAGGGCGAGAAAGCCCAGGGTTGTTAGTCGGTAGTTGATGTCGACAGCCACCACGTCGCCACGAGATGCCAGGTTGCCTCCGTCTGCAGTTGGATCATTTCCAGTACCTCCAGTAAAAGCCCCTCCGTGGATCCAAACCTACGACAGTCAGTGCTTGGGTTACTCCAACACTGTTTGAGGACTTTTAACTACGTACCATTACCGGTCGGAGGTCCTTGATTGTCGAATTGGTGCTGGGTAGATAATTGGTCCATATATTTAGGAAGAGGCAATCCTCCGAGCCCACGTTGCCGCCTTGAACACATTGCGAGCCATACTCTAGAGCCGAGACCTGACTGCCGTTTCCGACATACGGTGTAGAGTATGTAAAGCGCTCGGGTTGCGGTGCATAACGAACACCAAGAAAGCGGAAGCTGTAGCGGTCACGGAAACTGTACCAACTGCATTAGTGAAAACTTGTCGACGACACTGAGGAGAGGGGGGTTTGCATATACCCAGTCAGATATTCGCCATTGGACCTAACGGTGACTTGCCACTGCTCGCTTGTATCCTTGAAAGACTCGTTCGAGAAGGGTGCAGTCTGCGTGCAAATGACTGGAAGTCGGGAAGCGATTGCCGGCCAGGAGACGCGGCCAGTGCGGTCAATCGCTCTGCTCCCCACTCCTTTCGAAGCAATCCAGAACTGGGACGACCCGAGCGCATTATCCTTGTATCTTAGATAATCAAGATTGTGTTGTATACTCGTGCTTCCTAGTTCTGGCGACCACAGCTGCTCGCCCAAGGCCTTGCAAGCCACGAGTGCGTCACTGTATGGCCGGGCCGAGAGCACAATTATACTGGAATTGGCAGTCGGACTATCGACACCTTGGAAGCATTAATCAGTGGTCCCATTATCCCGAAAAACCCAAACTCACCTTGCAAGTCATTGTCGGCGATAATGGTGATGCCCGTACTCAGACTGTCTGGGGAGGGAGGAATCGCTCCGACACTCACCGCCAGTATGGCGAGCCACAGTGTTTGCAACATGGCAAAGGAACGACGGATGAATACCATTTCAATTCCTGGCCGTCAGAATGCGACAGACAACTCTTTGGCCAAAGCCAAGAAGAGTCGCCCTTTAAAGAGATCTGAATCCTGCCTCCCCATTACTGGCTTGGTCCGTTGCACCGAATCTACGGATGGACTGGCGAGCGAGCCGCCTGCGAACCCACCGCTATTGCTTGACGGCATCATTGAGTATAACTTCCCTTGTACCGAGCGATTCCTCCAATCGGATCAATACAGAAAATTTTCCCGAGCCCCAGAGTCGCAGACATTCATATCGCTAGGGCAGCTTGGATGCAGGGACAATGGTGCATTTGGAGAAGTAAAGTCGTATCGTCGCCCCGCATTCCCGCTGCAATTGACAATTCCCCTGCTCTGCCAGCCAGATTTTGGGGGAAAATGCTAGGTACTACTTGGTTTGGCTTTTAGGCTAAATCATTAGCAGACTTGCTCATCGGCTCCATGTCAAGGCGGTGTCCAAGGCCTACAATTAGGGCATTTCTACAATGTTGATATATAATCGAACAAGTGATGGAACTTTGTATTCTGACAAATAAAACGGGTTTCAAGTCTGAACCGAGTCCTTGGGTTTTGCCAAGATTGTTGGAGTACATTGGGGTAGAATTGGAGCGCAATCTTTGCAAGCAAGAATATAGGGATGGTTTTATTTGAATGTCTTCCACTGTGTGTTCATGATACCCCCTTACTCTTGTATAGTCATTCAAGCAGGTGTTGACTTGGGTTTTCTTGGTCCAGAGACAAAATCAATCAAGGACGTTCCAGAATCGGCCCTCTGTCGTTCGTACAATGGTACTAACCTTAGGTAGGTTATAGACGCAATCTGTCTCTGATGATGTGGGGCCTGGCCGAACATGCAAGAAATACATTAATCACAGGGGAAATCACAATTTCGTAAAATGGTCGCTCTCTCTTGGCCGCCAAGTCGTGGCAACGCAATTCAAACTTCATCTCCGATCTTCTCAGTTTGGTGGGCTGTTATACCTGCGATATCTACCTCCTACTTGCTCCGACATGGCGATTCGAACGGAGTTAGCAGGCTAGAGCCGCCAGTCGCGGCACTATACCAGGACCGGAATACACTTTCAACGTCACGCGTTACCGGAAAAGGCAAACGCTTTTGCCAACGACTCTGTTCACGCTGGACATTTGTAGCATTATACACTCAATAGCCAACAGTCTCGGAGTTTGTTTTGCACAGGCCGTTCAAACATGGGATTAAGACGAAATCAATGAGGAAATTAATACGGAGATTGTGATTATGGAGCTTGAGTAGAGTAGCCACGTTTCAGAGGGTATATAAAAGGACAGGAAGCAATACCACTGTTGTTCACGAGACAAAGTATCATGGCAAATTTTGTACAATTTCATATTCATCAACAAAGAGTTTCGAATCATTATCATAATGTCAGCCGTCTCTTTTACCCAATTCGTCCGAGAACAGTGGTTGCATCTCCCCCTGGCCGTATCCACCGAAACATGCTCCGGAGGTACGTATATCGTAACCGGTGCCAATACTGGTCTCGGACTCGAAGCAGCTCGGCATTTGGCAGGCGTAGGTGCCAAGAAAGTCGTTCTTGGTGTACGCAACATGAAGAGCGGGGAGGAAGCAAAGGTCGACATTGAAAAGACTAGCAAGACTCGGGGCATCGTCGAGGTATGGCCACTCGACTTGTCGAGCTGCGCATCCGTCAAGGCCTTTTCCAAGCGTGCCATTCAAGAACTCGATCGCATCGATGCAGTGATTGAAAACGCTGGTGTCGCCTATAACGCGTACAAAAGTATCGAGGGCCACGAGGAGAGCGTGGTGATTAACGTGCTGAACACGTTCCTCCTAGCAGTGCTGCTGTTCCCCAAGTTGGAAGATGCCGCCAAAAAATTCAATATACTGCCACACCTGGTCATTATTTCAAGCGAAACGGCCTTCATGGCCAATGCGAGAACAGAGCTGAGCAAGGTTCAAAGTGATCCCTTGCGCAAGATGGACGACGAGAAGCTGGCCGACATGAGCGCCAGGTATGTCTATGCGAAACTGCAAAGGGCAATCTAGCACTAACAGTGTGTGGCAGGTATCCCTTTACAAAGTTGATCCAAGTCCTGGCAGCCCGACAATTGGCCTCTCTGCTTCCAGTGGAACAACGAAGAGTCGTCATCAACTATGTCAACCCAGGATTGTGCAAGACTGGCCTCAGTAGACACGTTGGGATCGTCCAAAGACTGCAGATCAACATGGCAAAGAATCTCCTGGGGAGAACAGCCGAACAAGGGAGCCGAAACCTGCTTTATGGAGCAGTTGCTGCAAAGGAGAGCCACGGTTGCTATGTCGGGAATTGCGAAATTGAAGAGTGAGTAGTACTTGAGGATTCCCTTCTGTATGGCAACTCTGCTGACAATGATTCGAGTGACCGCGTCCCAGATTGGATCACAGACGCAAAAGGTCGCAAGACTCAACAGCGTGTGTGGGATGATATTGCGCAAGAACTCGAAAAAATTGAGCCTGGGTGCATTCAACGACTTGAAGGCAGTCATTGAGTGGAGTTTTATATACCCAAGAGAGGAGGCATGAGAAATCGTTGTGATACTGTTGTATAAAGTCGCTTGCAAATGGTATCGTGCAGGACTCCAATCCAGGGAAGTTTCGAGAGTCGAGTTTGTAGTTCATTAGAGTCACGTATGCCTAGGAATTGAATGCTCTCGTGTACCTTTGGCAGTATCCAAGTATCGTCTGCTGGACACAAAACCGCTGTCCGACTTATGAGTAGAGTCCAAATGAGTACCTCATGACAGTTGACTGAGGAACTATGATGCTTGTCTGCAGCCGTCTTGATTCTTTCACCGAGAAGCGGCAGAGGTGGGATTTTCCGGTTCAGACCAGCCAGAAAGGTTATGACAAAACAATACAGGCCCAAAAGCAGCACGTTGCTCATGTCATCTTGCAAAGGTGGGGAGCCAAGAGTATTGATAGCAATAAGCCGGTATCCGAGAAAATTGAGTACATCGTGGAATGCGTTTCCATCTATCATGGCAGGACTGTGGGTATGTGTATTAATGAGTGTTGCGAATGTTTGAATGTACTGAAGAACTTCCTGCAGGTCGGGGAGCACACGGTCGAATGGTGAAATCCTAGAATTTTGCGCTGTTTCTTGCGCCGTGGACATGTCCAGTAAAAGCTCGACGCGCTCATTTCGCAATAGTGTATAATGAAACCGCGTCGGCGTGCCAAGGTGAAGAGCAAATTCCAAATCAGCCCTGGCAAGTAATCATCAGCAGTGTTGAACGCGGCGGTAACATGGCGGTTCAGCTCTGTCCAGCTTACCTGAAGATCTTCTTGGCCAAGGCGGGCTGTCTTTGAGAAAGTTGACCGATGCCACCGCGCATGTTGGTCAAGCGCTCGAGGCCATCCAAATGTATCAGACCCTTTTTGTAATTTCCTTTCAATCGCTCATACTGAGTCATTGCCACTATAGAAGCAAAAGTTGTATCTGCAGTAGCCTCGCTCCCGGATAACTTCTTGTTGACCAATTGAAATGTGCGACTGAGATGACGCATAGCTTCTGCCGTATCATCATCTCCAATTATCATGGAGCTAAAGGCAGCATTGAACATGGCCACGACACAGTGGAAATCTGGTGTTCATCAGAATGCCAATCCAAGGTAGCTTTGTAGACAGCAAATACTGACAGGCTTCATCAAGAAAGATGAATTGAAACCACATTGAAGATGTAGAGTCTAAATGAATTGCGCTTTGAAGAGTGTCTGGGTACACGGTAGGGCATATGAATGTGAGCACTAGAGACGCCACCCCATCAGAATTTACAGTAGCAGATTGATCGGGAACGGGAGTCGTCACCTCGACTGAATTGATTCTTGGTTCTAGAGCTCATCTGAAAAGACACGCCCAATAGGGAAACACCATCGTACCAAGGTCGCTCGAGGGTAAGATTTTCATCCTGAGACGTGTCTACACATTCCAGCTGGGTGTTGGCATCCCTCGAGTCGCGCGTTGGCTGCTCTGGGGTTTGGTGCGGTCTTCTTCGGGCACGTCCTTTGCCAGCACTCTTGCCCTTGGCAGCGTGACTGCGTATCAATTTTCTGGTCTTGTCATCAATTGCAGCATTGTCGACGAACTGAAAAGACATGTTGGCGAGCACATTTCAATGCAGCAATGATTGATGTTGTACTAGCTGCTGAGGTAAGTTGAGAAGTCCATCATTGCCCACTGTAAGATGGTCAATGGCCCGCCCCAAAGTGGAGATCAGGCGGCAGGCGGCGGGCGGACGAGTGGGCAGCTTAATCCCGGTAATCCCGCTGATCCTACCAGATACGAAAGCACTGTTACGGGACGCTACGGGCACCAAGGTTACAGTGCTTATAGAAGGCAAAGATTCGCTCAATCTCATTTGTTGCCATTCGGCTCAAGACTCGTCATCGTATATCTGAATGGTTTACTGGCTGCTGTATGACTTCATATTAATTTGGTTGAGCCTAGAAGGCGCCCATAAAGCAAAACTATGACTGCTAAATACTAATCGGCCTCGCCAATGGCAAAGCCTTTCTCAATCGCAAATTTGAGCCGCGCGACTTTTGCGCAGAGATACTCTTCCTCGTCGCTGGGCTTGGCGATGGTTCCGAGATGTGAAAATTCATAAAACCTGGAGCTCCTTTCCAATCTGGTAGCTGATCGCGCCCAAGACGATAAGTAAAGACAAGGATCTTGAGATGGTTTCCTTGAGTGTTGGCCGTATCGATCAATTTGGATAACATCCGCAAGAACGGAGCTGCCTCTTCTTTGTCAAACGAGCAAAACAGCGGTTCGGCCTCAATAACGAGGAATAATTTCTGGACACGTGCGACAATGAGCTGGAGAAGAGCGAACCACTCATCCTGCGAGTTTCCATGACACAAGTTGCTCGTGCTGATTTGTGCTCGACCCAGGCTTGAGCCGTTTGAGCAGTACGTGAATGCTTGCGCGACGACGGCTTTTAGAATATCTGTAACCTTTAGTGTACCTTGCAACTTCCTCGGAGAAAAGAAGCAAGCCACGGGAACGTTTGTGGCCCGAATGATGTTGATAATTGAAGCAGCCATTCCGTGTGTGATGGCTTCTGCTCGTGGTCCGGATCTGAGGATCAACATGGTGGCACCCGCGACTGAGGACCACATGGTCAGGGCTGCGCAAATCTTGCGTAGCACCCTATCATCCATCTGCATATAAATGCGCTTCCGGGAAATTTTGATGATGAGTCTGGCGTTCTGGTCAGAATTGAAATAAGGTGATATGCTTTTCAGGAATCGGGCGAGCTGCAGATCCCATAGCTGGCCTTTGATCTCTGCAAACTCTGGCTGTATTCTCGAGGACATGATGTGGAGATCTGCGAGCATATGAGCCGGGGTGGACATGTTCACCCTTGTCTACACAAAATAACTTACTTGCTGTGAGATTCATAAGTTGATCTATCTTGATGTGGACATCTCTGAGCTCAGCCCTCGCAGCTGCGCTTGCAATTTGATCAACATGTCTAGAGCACTCGTTGATCTTCTCTAGGGTTTCCTTGAGGCGTACTTCAAATGGACTACAAATTGATGAAAGGGCACGTCCGGCCGGGCTTCTCAGATACCATTTGGAGGCATCCTGGAGAAACTTGATGATTTGTGCGTAAAGTAATGATATAGCTTCTCTCAGGCGTAATGTTGGGTAAAGCGTCGCGTTTAACTCGGTCCGGGGCAGAAGTTGTCCGATCTCAGTAAGCATCTTGGCATATTGTAGCAGCAGCTCTCCGTGATTCAGGACTCCCTGGATGTTTGTAAGAATGAAGCTGAAAGTAAATATACGCATTCCATGTGGCTTACCACAAAAATGAACTTCATTGATCCCCACACAAGTGAAACATATTCTGGATGATGCTGTACAAGGACGTCAAGGACCTGTCCATAGAACATGATTTGTGACGAGAATCTCTGAAGCCATTTTTGCATCTTCTTCTTGGACTTGTGTGTTCCATTGTAGACATCTTGTGCCTGAGTTACAGATTCCTGCATGTCCAACATGGACACGTATACGCCGACGGCCACTCGTTTGAATTGGCTCTGGGTGAGCTCTGTCCGGTAGTAATCAACGGCATCTTGATATGCTTGCTGGGCGACGCTCAAGGTACTGGACAGGATAGAGTCGTTAGTTTCAGCATGAGGACTTGACGTCCAACGCCCGCGATTAGCAAGCTGTGTCGAGACTCACCCAGTCCCCGTCGTTGGGTTGTACCAGTCGGTATTGCCAGCTTTGGCTGGTGGAGGACTCAATTGGACAGGCATCACTGAAGATTCCAGGATTTCTGCCACGAATCAAATCAATCTACCTATCAATTGAATAATCAATGTTCTCAACATTTCTCCACAAAGGTATGCTTTGTTGAAGTATCCCAAGAGATTCTATCATTGTGTGGCGCATACCTGGCATGAAGAAATCCGGGCACTACCGCCTTTGGTTTTCGGTGAGAAGTTCATGGAGAGATAAGCGGGCGCACGCGAGGCGCACTCCAAGGCAAACCTACGCGTTGAACCAATTGTACGCCATCATAATGGCCTGGTGAAAGCAGTCAAATGCGTGCAAATACCTCATTTGAGACACGCCTTTCCAATCGACATGGGTAGCACACTGAGGCAGTGTAGCTGAAACCTGAATGGCGCTTTAGTACTTGCAGCAAGCCAATGGCTTTGGGTACAGTTTTCGCATAGCCACACCTAGCTTTCAGCTTGAATCAGCTTGCATGATGTAATTTGGCGACGAATGAGTTCTAGCCGCGTTTGTCTGGCCGACCTAGAATAATGTGGTGGCACATGAGGACATTTTGTCGACACCCATAAAGCATGTTCAAAGCGCCAATGCAGCGGGCTGAATCAGAAGTTGCTGCACATATTCTACAACTGAGCCAAGTCGCTGTGTCTGCAATGCTATTTGGCCTATCTACATCTTTCTACGTAAAGACATGTCCGATCTCAGTAATATACTAAAGATCAAAGATAAGCCAAGCTTCAACATCAAGTCCACCATCTCTCAAGACCGGACCAACACTGAAAAGCAACATCAGCTTTTACTCACTGCTCTAGAGCGACGCCCTAAAACCACGCAGCTGAAGGGAGGTCGCTTCGAAAAAGGTATCGGCAAACGCGACAAGGTAATATCTATTTACACTTCTGGTGACCTACCCATGGTCGAACATTCTACTGATCCAGTTGCGTAGGGTGCGAGTAGCTCGAACTCGATCGCCAAAAATAGTCTTTCCTCCATTCTCAACGTGCCGGACAAACCAAAGATCGAGATCCCAGACAAGGACGTAGAACTGGTTATGGACCAAGCAGGCGTCTCAAGAAACGCAGCCATCGAAGCACTTGAACAGAATGATGGCGATATTGTGAATGCGATTATGAGTATATCGGTGTAAAATTTCCCTTGTACAGATCAGAAGTACACCCTACTTTCCTCTGAGCCAAGCCGGCCTACGCATAACTACTCGTCGTCTCAATGGATGAATATTTCCACCCGAGCAGGCTTTTCCGGACCCCACTTGAAGACGATGAGATAATCCGTGCTTCTAAAAACCCAAGCTTCTATTCAAACTTGCAAAAAGAGCTCAGGAGCTTGTTCGATGAGCATCAACACTTGCTTCAACGGCGTGTGAATCTTCCCGTCAAGGAAATAGCCGAAGAGGACAGCGACACGAATGGCGACTTGGTATCAAAGCATCCTAGCTTTCTCTTCGACACGGCCGTCATCAAGTCATCAACAAAGCCGCCGCAAAAGACAGGCTCGCGCGATGCACAATCTCAATTCTGGGCTGGCATCACTCGATTTGTTGACAATAGCGAGTCAAAGCTCTACACAAGGCTTCTTGATGTCAGACAGAAGCTTTTGTACGAGATTGAATACTTGAAAACATCTGCAATAACAGACGATTTTGAAAAGCTTCAATACGGCTCGGAAGAGAATCATGGGGAAGACTTGGAGGAAGTTAAAGCAGGCTTCGAAGGCGAGGCTTCCCAGACACTGGAGGCAGGTCAAGCGGACGAAACCAGCGAGGACGAGAGCAGCGATGCGGGGTCTGAAAGCAACGATGCAGAGTCAGAAAGCAACGAGGCAGAGCCAAAGAGCAACGAAGCAAGTGGCCGAGACAACGAACCCGCCAAAGAAGGAGAAAATGCAAAAGATGGTGAACATGAACCCAGATGGATCACAATCCACCGTGTGTATTGTACTGAGCGTTCGTGGCGTTCTGCACATGAGCATCACGAAAACATCAGCCTTTACCTCGACAGACCTGTGATTGACCTAAACGAAAAGCGTACTGTTTCCGGCTATTACGATCCATTTTCTTACCGCAAGAGCTCCCGATATGCTGGTACGCTTGATCCGAAAGGGAAATGTCCAATACCCGACATTCAAGACTATCTCAAGAGACACGAAAACATTGCATTCATCCTGTACAAGGACTATCACTGTCAAGAATATGTTTCATCCGTGCCCAACGCAGTGCTGTTTGGATCATCTTTATCGCCTGAAGTGGACTTGCCCCCACCGCGATGCGTGCGGGAAGAAATTGTTCTGGCTTCTGATGAGATGAAGACAGCCATGGCAGTCTTGAGTTCTGCAATACCGGAGGGTTCGCAAAAGCATTGGTGGAGCTCAGATAAGATGCAGGAGCCATACCTCTTGCTGTATCACTATCTTGACATGGTGAAGGAGACGCTATCGAGCATGGTCGGGGCCGGAGCTCTAGCCGATAGTCAGGTCGATTGTGCAAAGCTCATGATGGGCTTTATTGATGAGCACTTGAAACCTCAGTTCGACGCAGCCAGCTCTTTGATGGAGAGGGGGCTAATAACCCAAGCACATTTGAGCAAACTCTTCCTCCCTGAACAGGTTTTGGTAGCCAAGGATGATAATTATTACGCCGGCTACATGTGCAGTCGTGTAACTGCAAAGGACTACCCTTCTTTCGAGGAGACTAAAAACAGTCTCAACGAACTCAAGGTGGAATACTCTCCCAGCAAGTCTGGAATCTCTTTAAAGGTCGCATCCTGGAAGTTCGATGGACAGTTTCGCCTCGAAACGGAAGACATTGCTCTGGTTTGGCCTGAAGGTAGTCCCATTGTGCGTATCAAGGACTTGAGTATATATCCCATGAAGTACGACGAAGATGGAGCAGAAGAAATCCTCAAGGCTCGAGCCGAGAAGTTTTGGATGTGTCGTCGCAGATCGTATATCTGCTACGAATCACAGGACAAGAACGTCGCTCCTGATGTACGGATAGCGTCTCCTCACATCTGAAAAGTGTTTTTGCTAACCAGTGCGATAGGTCAAGCCCAGGTTCATGATTGACTATGAAACTTACCGCGAACTCCACCCGGATGCCGATGTGTTCTCTGGTGACTCCCGGGATGATATCGGCGAGGAAGACATGGACAAGGACGAGCCACCTGGCCGAGGATTGGAGTACCTGTTTCCCGTCTACATTGACGGTTTCGCCATCCAAGATAAAAAGTGGAGTATGTTTTGGCCCTTCCCCGTGGGGAGTGTCTTGAAGCTGACACAATCTTCTCTAGGACGGCTACTCATTGATCGCGTGAGCTTGATTAAGTGGAATGAAGATGCATTCAAGCGTCTTGTACTGGGAGATGAGTCCAAAGAATTGATCCAAGCTTTGATCGAAGTCCACATGTCCAGCAAACGATCTGCCGACATGATTGAGGGCAAAGGAAACGGCCTCCTCGTCCTTCTTCATGGCCCGCCAGGCACGGGCAAGACGTTGACAGCAGAGTCTGTAGCTGAGCTCGTCAAACGGCCTCTCTATCGCGTAACTTGTGGCGATATTGGCACTGACGCAGAAGGAGTCGAGGCCTATCTCGAGTCGGTACTGTACATAGGAAAGATCTGGGGCTGTGTCATCCTGCTCGACGAAGCCGATGTCTTTCTCGAGGAGCGCAGTCTTGCGGACCTGCAACGCAACGCCCTAGTTTCTGTCTTTCTTCGCGTCCTCGAATACTACGACGGCATCTTGATCTTGACGTCGAATCGCGTGGGAACGTTTGACGAAGCCTTTCGATCGCGCATCAAACTGGCCCTGCATTACAACACTCTCTCGCGCGCGGAGCGCAAAAAGGTGTGGCGCAACTTTTTCAAGACATTGCGCGAGGTACAAGACCAAGATGTCAATTATGATGACCTCGACGATCACCTGGATGACTTGGCTGAATTCGATTTGAATGGACGCGAGATTCGCAATGCCATTTCCACAGCGAGCGAGCTGGCCTTGTTTCGGAAACAGCAGCTCAAATATCACCACCTGAGGCACGTTATCCGGATTGGAGCCGAGTTTGAAAAGTATCTCGACAAGACGCGTGGTGAGACGGCAGAGGAGCGAATGATTGATCTCGGGGTGCGGTCGTGACTATTTGCGACCCTTCTTCGGAATTATTGAGATTTTAGCATGTTTAATTTACCGGTCTACTTTGTGTTACTCTAAGCTGCCGCAACTAACATTGTGTGTGTGTGTGCGCGCGCGCGTGGGTGTATGTGTTGCGGGTGGGGAAGTGGCTGACAGCTCCCCTGTTGAATTGATCTTCACCGATGTAATTTGTAATTAGGGGTTCAGTGATACCGAGCCACGATTTTACGGGTGAGTGGGAAACTAGCGATCTGAGGAGTGTTTGATGGGGTATTCAAACGACATGAAGCCCTCCCTGACATCCCCAAGGATTGACGGAGGCACAAAACCCTCTTATGAAAGAATGCAATTCTTAGTCATTTGCATCGCGCATCTGCTGCATAGAGTCTTTGCCCAGATGCTATGTAGAAAAACTGCAGCTCAGTCAGGGATATTGCACTGCCTCGCAGGAGCGTGCGTTTGTGGCTGTGTTACTGCCGCAGCCCCGTCAGACGCTGTGTCGCGAGGGCAGTGATGCTGTTTGAACCAATAGTACCTAGTGTTTGAGAGCAGCAACAGCTTGAAAATGGAATGGGCGATCAGTCGGCTTTAAGGATGAGAATTTCCTCCCGAGCCTTGCATCGGATGGAAAGATTAAAATGTGGAATCGTCGTGATCCGAGTATGCTTGACTGACACTATACACCCAATTCAACCAGCCATGAAAGATGGTTTCAGATCAAGCAGGCAGTTCGATTGAGTCGCATCATTCTCCAGACGATTCCGACCGTACGAGCCATCAGCCACCAGATGCACCAGAAGATGCTGTACAAGGACGAGGTTCGTCGCCTCCGACATCCACAGCGTCGGCTCAAGGATCTGTCTCGTATTTTTCCAAGATCTCGAATTCCGTTACGTCCATCAAAAATTTATTACCAGTTCAGGCCTCGGCGTTAGCTGTCAGATGCCGACAATGCCACCTCACAGTCAAAAGCACAGTTGCTGTTGTCACCATCGTCACATTCCCTTTGGCAGTATTGGGCACCTGGGCAGCGTGGGAAGCTCTGAAGTTATCCCAATGGACCAAACGCAAGGATGAACTGGCATGGTGTGAAGATGTAAGCCCTTCTACTTATTCATATGGTTTACAGAATCTCAGTGTTGTATCAGCATAATTGGAAGTACCCGGGATGCGAAGCGTTAACAGACGAACCGCTTTCACTTCCCAGAAGCCTCTCGTCATCCAGAGAGAGCGAGCAGTTGCCCGACATGGGAATTCAACCATTCTTAGTGGCGCAGCACTGGCTTGCATCTCTGGGAACTGGCTACCTACGTCTTCTATGTATTGTTGGCATATTTTTGTCATGCCTCCCCGTTGCCATCTTGTGGACAGATCGCGGTCTCATTGTAAACATGCCTCTCTTACCTCCAAGCACGTATAATAAGACCTGCTACAGGCAATACGTTCGACAGCTAAAAGACGTTCAACAGCTGAAAGACGTTCAACAGCTAAAAAACGTTCAACAGCTAAAAAACGTTCGACGGCTAAGAACCATTCGACGGCTAAGAACCATTCGACAGCTAAAAAACGTTCGACAGCTGAAAGACGTTCAACAGCTGCGTCTGGATTTAATAGAGAGCGCCACCGTATCTCACTCCGCAACATCAGCAGTGTACCACGAATAGAGCTCTGTTGCGCATTAGCGAAAGCTGGCACTCAATAAAATCGTCGAGTACACGCAGAGATTACAAAGCAGCATTGATTCAATCGAGATAATGCTCCAAAAACAGCCCGAGAAATACGACGAAGACCGATTTGCACTTCTGGGTCCCGCTGCCGCGCATAAGGGAATAGGACTCTCTATAATGAAGAGCCCTAATGCGTCTTCCACGCTATCCGCAGATTCGATGCGATTCTAGGCCGTTAACATACGTATTGCGAATTATGCTTCGATATGCAATCCTAGCTGCGTTTGCTTATGCTATCGCCGATCCCGCACAAATACACCTAGTGTAATAAACCGAATATTAGGTTAGTTATTTATCGGGTACGCTGGAATTCTAATTATTAGCCTAAAATGCGATTAAGCATAATGCCGACGTTAATAGCTGCTGATGCAGGCTGAGTATTAGTTCCCGGCCGGAGTTTTTTAGTTATAAATTATTAGGTTTTAAGCAATTTACTAATTTAACTTCGGACTATATTTATAATTAAAGACTTTGCGCCGCGTTTTAGATTTTGCTGACGCTGTTACTTATGCAATGAAAGGTGATATCGAAGGCTTGAAATTTTTGTTTATACGTGGGCTTGCCTTGCCTGCCGACGTGAGCGATACCCGAGGTTATTTATTATTACGCGTAAGCTTTTTATTTTATATATTGTGATTATAACTAATTAATATTTGTAGTGGGCTATGTATGCGGGATATTATAAGGCTTGCCAGTTTTTTATATATGCGGGCGCTAATGTTAATTATCGGTAAGCGTTGCCTAATCCTAAAAGTTTTTATTTTATTTTTTAACTTGCTGTGTAAACCTAAAGCCTTTACCGATAATTCGCTATATAATAAAGCAAGCGATATTATCCTTTAGGGAGGCTTATTATAAAAGGCTATTGAATTATTATCTTATATGATATAATTTAGCGATTAGATCGAGGAGCAAAATTTCCTACGAATTTATAAGGTAGTTACCGGCTTAGTTATCGACGATTTAAAGGCTAAGCTGGAACGCTACCCCGAAACCGTTAATATTTAAGATGCGAAGGGATATATATTATTATTATGGGCAGCTGTATACGGTGACGAAGCAGCCGTTTTAACGCTTTTTTATTACGGAGCAAATCCTAATATTTTTAATATATAGTGGTTAGGCCTAGTCTTTTATGCGGCCGACCGAGGTCACACCGTTTGCATTCGTTTTCTTTTAAAAGCTGGTGCTTATATAAATGTGGAGCTGCTTAGCGGATATAAGATGGGTAGCGCTTTAAATTGTGCTGCCCGGAACGCAAGAGATCCGCTTTTCCTAAAGACCCTTTTAGAATTTAATGCTAAGGTCGACTCCTGCGGTGTGGATGGGCGTACCGCCCTTATTTATGCCGCAAGGATTAATAGAGCAGATTTTGCATTAATTTTACTCGAATACGGCGCAAATATTAATGCAATGTCGATTACGGGTTAAACGCTATTTATTACCGCGATTATATATAATAATTACGATGTGCTAAAGTTGCTTTTCGAAAGGTGGCAAGACTATTATGATTGTCCTAAATTAAAAGGGCCTAATATATTAAAGATGGCAGCATAATATGCCGACCTGGAGACGCTGATGATATTAGGCGTAATAAATTACTTTAAGCTGAAATATAATATGTATTATTTTACGAGTGACTTCGAGACACTCCTGCGGGCTAGGCATGATGCGGACGAGAAACTTGTTAGCGCATTTATCGATTTAATTAATATCCTGCGAAATTATTTAGCCTACGAAGAATTGATGGAAGGTGGGATTGGATTTAGGCCTTATAGTCCGTGTGGCAGCGAGTGCCCAGAAAGTGAGTGTGAGGATGCTTAGTCTGATGTCGATAACGATTAATGAACCACTGCGATGGGGTGGGATGGCGCTATATTATGATCAAGCTTGTTTTTCACCTCGTTTTAATCCCCCCCACCCCAATAATGAATTTATACTATTATTCAAGTAGAAAATAAAAAAATCCCAAAGCTGTTACAATGATCGTGGTCTCGTTGTTCAATCATTCGTGATATTCTCAATAGGCCCGTGGAAGAGCGGGCGAAGAAACACCAAGCTGGAGTGATTAAGGCTGAGCATGAGGCAGAAGACGTTCTATAAAGTGAAAAAGCTATTGGACAAGAAGATGCTCCACCAGATTTCGAGGGGGCCTCCGAATCATTCGACCTAAAAATTACTGAAGAAAGCCACAAAAGGGCGGCTACTCAAAGCCTACCGAAATGGGAGTCAGAAGAAGCCACTATGCAGGTTCTTCCTTCAGCACAAGGCTATCTTTATAAAGCCCCCTCCACCCAAGATTACACTCGCCGGTATATCGAGGCCTACCTCCGAAACAAGAGTAGGAAGAAGGCTCTAGTTCCACAAGAGTCTATGAGAGATGTAGTGTTCGCAAGCGGAGGGGCCAGTGCGAGCGGTCTTCGCTGGATCTATGTAAGTCTTTTCACAAGGAACATTTTCGTTGCTCATGTCTGATAGAGAGCAGTCTAATTGTCCAGGTTCCAATTTCAGCTGGGAACATGATTCTTCTTGTCCTCTTTGCTTTAAACCACGTCCAACTGCTCCCGAAACCTCTTATGCTTGATTCGAAACGCCACCAAAAAATATATATATATGAGTCGGCATACGTCACGGACAGGGGAGATAGTGTGTGAGACGGCAGAGGAGCGAATGATTGATCTTGGGGTGCGGTCGTGACTATTTGCGACCCTTCTTCGTAATTATTGACTTTTTGACCTCCTAGTGTGGTGGGGTCCCTGTTCAGTGTACTTCGTACCCATCAACCTGTTTAGGTTCCAGACCATCATCCGTTGTCTTTTTGGCGTTTTCACTTGGTTCTTCATGCTTTCTTCAATTCTTTCACCTATATATCATGTCCGACAATCAATATACACAAAATTAAACTCAAATGCGACCGTTACGAATGAAAACGTGAAGTGATCAGGCAGACAACCCGACCCCGCATAGCTGTTTCCTGGTGTTTAGTTGCGGTCCCTCCAACCATGCCCATGCCCCCCCCCCCCCCCCAGCTTAATCTCAATCTAACGAGACAGAAACAACAACAATGATTATTGTATGTATACCAAGAAGAAGAAAAATAAAAAAAGAAAGACTACATAATACCGGACATTCCCCAGCCGCCATTGATCTATGTATTAATTCTGCGACCAAAGGATAGATATGTTTACTTGGCGAAAGTGGGCCATTCTCGTTACAGCTTAAAGCGTACCTGGTTCGCCAATGATTTCGCATGGTATACTTGCAGCCTGTTGCAAGGCTCTTTCCATCCTTGTACAGCCCGAGGAGGCATCGGAATACCTTGGGCGTCAATACATGCCATGGGGACTTACGCGAGCCCATTTGGCCCCCAAGCAATGTGTTTTCATTTCATAAGGTTCTTTTGTTCGCCCTCATCTCCCCACAAGTTTTCCAAAGTTTTACTGCATCTTGGCTAGCAGCAAATCTCAAGCTCGAAATGATCAGGAGATACATCCGCCATGGACAGCGAGGACTCTGATATCGAAATTGTTCCCCCCCCACGGCGCTCCGGCGTACGTCGAAGGAGGTAAGGAACTTGCAGTCCGGTTTCCATCATCTGTACGCGAGAATTGTTACTCACAAGTGCTCCCTAGTCAAGTTTACAAACCTTCCGCCACGTGCTGGGCAGCCGAGACTTATCACCGCTGTCAAGAACAATAATTTCCCACTGCTCGAGAAGCTTCTAGGCCAGAGCAACAATTACAATCGTGCAGGCCTGCTGAGCCAGCGGGGACCTCGCGACACAACTGCACTGCACTGGGCTGCAAAACTGGGCCAAGTAGAAGTCTTGGAGCTTCTAGTAGCCCATATCGAGATCGATGCAAAGGATGCGTCGGGGCGCACAGCCCTATTCTATGCAGTGGACAGCAAAGCCAACCAGCTGAAAGTCCTAGAGATACTCCTATACAGCGGTGCACGCGTCAACCAGTATGACAAAAACGGGAAGACTGCACTCTGGGTTGCAGCCGACAAAGGAAAGCTGCATGCAGTCGAGAAACTGGTTGAGCTGGACAAGTCCACGTTGCACAAAGCCGTCCAACGGTGTGATAAAGACACATCAGCCCACGACAACAAGCTCAAGGTAGTGGCCACGCTGATGGCATGTGGTGCTGATGTTCACGCAGTGAATAAACATGGGGCCACTTTGCTCCATCTGGCAGCGTACAATGGCTGCTTGGCTGTTTTGAATCTCCTAAAGGGCTATAAGGACCTGGCAACAAAGTTGGACAAGTTTGGATACACTCCATTCGGGATAGCTGCTGAGCGCGGTTGGAAACATGTCTTGGAGTGTCTGTTGGAGCATTTCGATGTTGACATCGAGGCTGTCAGTGGTTCATGGACGCCTCTGATCCATGCTGCCGATGCTGGCCACCTGGAAGCTGTCAAGTATCTGGTGAGCAAAGGCGCCAACCTAATGGCCAAGAGCCGTACTGGTTACTTGCCTGTTTTCATTGCTTGCATCAATAGGCATGATGAGGTGGCAATGGCGCTCCTTGCGAGCATGACTCGAAGTCAGGCTCTTCTGGTAACAAACGAGGACCGCGTTCCACTGATAAGTATTGCTGCTGGCTCTGGCTGCACTCGTGTGGTAGCCCGTCTTCTAGAGTATCTACAAGCTGATAATAGCGTTCAACGAGTCCTGTCGGAAATGATCGATCGTTGCACGGTTGCTTATGAAGCTATTCGTGGGAATCATCATGCAACAGCTATGCTCCTTTTGGCAAATGGTGCTTCAACACAGGGAGTGGACGGCGATGGAAACACGGTATTGCACTGGGCAGCCATTCATGGTGACCATATTCTCATCCAGTCTTTGTTGGAGGGAAATTCTGGATCTAATCAACAGGTTGCAAATATGAACCGCAAACAGGAGACTCCGGTGACTCTAGCTGCCGCAGGCCAGCACGACGAGGTTGTCGCTCTCCTGTTGAAGCATCAGGACCCTCATAGAATCCATGGGCAGAATACCAATGGATGGAAAGCCCTTCACTGGGCTGCCTGGTATATGAGGCTTGATCTAGTGAGACTTCTGATCACAAAGGGTGCCGACATCACAAAGAAAGACGCCAGCGACCGTACCGCAAGTCAAGTTGCCCAGGACCTCGTACCAAAATCCATCGAGATGCTAGAGTGGTTGACTCTACCAGAAACTCTTTCAGCTGACCAAGTAGACACTGAACTCCAGCGTCCGGTCCTCCAAGAGTCCGCTGAAGATGTGTGCAAAGATACCCAAGCATATATTATGGACATTTACGGGCAGCGGATGATAGAGAAAACGGGGTTCTCTGTGCACAATATTATTTATGAATATGGACCACACGAGATCATGTCAGCTGCGGCCAAGGCCCGTCGTATCGATAACAATCCCGATATTCGCTGGATACATCTTCCCGCCAATAATGTAAGATCCAAGCTGTCCTCCGCGATCATTTGTTGGCAAAGAGACCTAACAAGATTCAATCTAGAAAACATGGCTCAAAGTAGGAAAAGAAACCATCAACATGATCGCACAACTACTCACAACGAGACAAATAGGACCTTGTACAAACAGTCTGCGTTGATCACGCCGGTCTCCGTTCTCAAGCACGTCAGAATGAACGCGAGAGATATCCAGCGCCGGCGGTTGTTCAAAACAGAATCGACTCTCAGTCATTTGAATCCTTTGACGATTTGAGTGACCTTGACGATGAGACTGATGGCGGCTTCAACGATGTGTCAGATGACGAAGACGCTCCAAGGGAGGAAACATACAGAGACAAACGAGATTCTAACCAGCAAGATGTCTTTGAAGTAACAATTGGTTTAGGAAACACAGACGTAACAAGTCAAATGGATGGCAGCACGACGGAAATAGACCTTAAGGCTCAAGATCTCAGCCTTGCCCCAAATCCAGAAAAGATTGAAGTGAAAAAGGTAACATTTTCACCAGGCCCGCCTGGCGACATGAAAAGCCCTCGGGATGGGCTTGAGATCGACCTGAAGGTAGAGGGAGGGAGTGAAAATGGCAAATCCGAGGCATCAGAGGAGCACTATCCTCGTAATATACTCCTGAGACGACCTCGTCTCACAAACCCGACGGCAGATCTGCATGTCAAACTTCAAGTCTTTATTGAGGAATGTTTACCTCATGAGAACGTCGCTTATCCGTTGCGTCGTCTTCAGTCATTCTTCAAGGTAAGATGAGAGTACTTTTGTTGTTGTTATTTTTCTTTTGTGGTTTGGGGGGTGGAGGGGCGCCGATGAACCCCTGCTAATGAGACACTACAGCAATTTCGGGTGGACGAACCGATTTGGGGCTCGGGTGACTCGAATGGCTCGTATTTAGCAGAAAGTGGATTTCGATTTGGCCTCTCGGTATAGAATGCATGCCCTGTACAACTTGATGGTGGGCTGATATCTCTGAACCAGATGCCGTACCTTACATTCACCAAAGCCAAACATCACATCCAATCTCAACGCATGCTAGAGAATGGTATTGGCGCAAATCAAATAGCACCATCTACGGACGGCAACAGTGATGGTGCTGCATGGGAACGCAAAATTGTTCAATCCTATGGAGAGCAGGACGTGCTGCAGCTTCCTCAAACCCTCGGTCGTTTCTATTACCATGCACTATCGAACATAGACGACGAGATGAAAGATCACGTTCTGTTCCAGCACCAAGATCGCAAATCCAAGACCACCCCCGAAAGCGACCGAGCGATATGTATGGTCGATCAGCTCTGGGTATTTCTTGTGGATAATGGTAAGATAGTCTCATCTTTGATACAGGGCTTTGGTGGCATTATAATAGGAGTCATCTCTAACTATCCTCATCGTTTAGCAACGGTCATCACATCTTGTTCAAAACAACAGGATCCGGATATTGTTGACATCCAAAAGAGCATTTGTGAGCATCTTACTCAGCACAAAGATAGACGTCCGCACCTCGGCTCGGCATTTGGCATGATCCCACTGGCCATTGCAGTTTGTGCAAGGAGGACAATCGATTGGCAACTGGGCGTGGACAAAGAGAGACTCCTTGGAGTTTTCGCCTCGGCGATAGCGCTAGCGGTTAGTGGGCTTTAGAGAACTCTCCATAAGCTCTGCTACTAACAGCCAAGATGTCTTTTGCTAACTATTTCTCAGTCACGTCGCGAGGTCGAGCTCTTTGATGAATTCACTCAAGCTCTGGCCACGGAAGACCGTCTGCTGCGCCAATATGAAAAGCCACCGCGGCGCGATATACGACAAGAGATCGAGCTCCTCAGAGAGGTGAAGAGAATTCTGGACGAACTCAACATCATAAAAACCGTACTCCTGAGCCAGAAATCAGTCCTGGATGAGGCATTCAGCTACATTGCCAAACCGCCGGGTCGTCAGGGCGGGTGGACCAGTATGAGCACTGCTGATCGCGAAATCGTTGGTGTGGTTGACTATTATCGGACTCTGAGCAAAGTGGACTTGGTGCATCAAGAAGTGGATAAGCTTATACACGATGCGAAGGAGGTCCAGAACAATGTCAGTCATTCAAGAGGCGCGTGAAAGACGCTGAGCTAATCGATTTGCCCAGATCAATCATTTGTTGGATCTCCGACAGAAGGACGCGAATCTTTCCGAGGCAATCTGGACCCGGAAATCGTCAGAAGACACTACAAGGCAGAGCAGGACAGTCATGGTGTTTACTGTCGTCACCATTGTGTTTGTAAGTGGTTCCATTGGTTTTGTCTGGGAGATTCGAAACACAATCCACCAACTACAAACTAATTTACCTGACAGCTACCAATTACATTCTTGTCGTCTCTGTTTGCCTTGGACATTAAGAGCTTTCCGCATGATGAGGGAGGAAACTTGTCGTATAGCCCAGAATGGGCTTACTCCAGACTTGGTAAGTCATCAAGCTTCTACCATCTTTGCAAATGGCATGAATGGCAGCGTCACATTATGGCAAGATATGTTCTGATTTGGATGCAGTTGGAATTACATTCGCAGTCTCGGTTCCGCTGGTCTTGCTTGCTTTCTTTGTCAACGAAGTGAGCGACTGGATCTCGGGTCTGTTCAGCCGCGGCTCAAAATCAACCGGAAGCGCACACGGTGAGGTTGCTGGACCTAGAACTGCTCAATTTTCAAACCAGAAAACAGAAGAGATAGCGGCAGCTGAAGGAGAGGAAATTGCCTCGGATCAGGCATCTCGCTGGCGCAATGTCTTGCGAAGGCGTCCAGTGATCCAAAGGCCCACAAGCAGTGTGTGATGACAATCTATAAATCACGTGCAGGATCAACAAACCGGTCTGTTTGGATATGGCTGGTCATGGAAGATTTCCCAGAACAGCTAATTGACTGGACCTTTCACTCAGATGCAGTTGACTGGTTTAGTTCCTGCGGAAAAGGCTCACTTTCGCCCCTTTCGCAATGTCATGCCATTAGCCGCTAATCTCTACGCCTGGTCGCTTGTATGATTAGGTACTTTATCCAACCAGAATATAAAGTGGTGAAATAGTCAAGACAGTCAAAAGAAAGACAAACCAGGAACCGTGAAGTAAAAAAAAAACACATACAACACCGGGGATTCCCCAGCCGTCACCGATCTGAGTACTAATCCGGCGCTTCTCAGTTTATCTAGGGCAGAGCGGACGGGATGCCGAGTTTTCTAAGAGCTATGGTCGTATGT